TTCCCATCATGTTTCTACTCACACAACCCCCGAAGACATTAAACGTGCTGTCGGAGACTTTTGAAACTAAATTCAGCAAATGAATAAAAACACGTGAGTAGGATTTACTCAGACTTGGCACACACTGACCATGACATTTTAATATGGGCCTGGACAGTAATCTGTGTTGAATTGATTTGATAACTGTATAAAAACACATTGCTTTTCTGTTAGTTTTCCCAAGCACAATCACTATAAATCACATTTTGCCATAACATCTAAACATGTTTGTACAGACAAACCAAGAGAAACAAAATCAATGTTAAATTCTCCGCACATAATGTTTTGTGGGTAATGGAGCATGATCAGGCAGCGAGGGTTTCCAAAATACGCTCTAACTGTATATGTTATACTATATCATCTTTAAAAAAATATATATATATATAACTCTTAGGCTTTATTAATATTTTCAAGAAAAATGATATGTCTCCCTCCTTCCACACATGGAACCAGCCATGTATAAAATGTTCTCTGAGAAAAGCAGAAAGGCGGAAAAAGCAACAGGGCAGTGTTTCTGAAAATAGCATTGCTAATTAGTTAGCTACGGTCACAGCATTCATATCAGCACACAGCAGTTTACACAGCCATCAAGCCAAATCAATCTTACTGATTATTTATTGCAATCCAGGTCACTTCCAATCAGCAATCACATAAGATAAGATGGTCATAATAACCACTTTAATGAGGGTTGCAATAACTAATCTACCTTCATGGGTAAATGATATAAAGTCTACCCCATAAAAAACCTCTAACTTAATAGGTCACTCCATCACTTTGTTTGGATTCGAGAGAGCCAGACCCCCTCTGCCAGTTCCTTAGTTCTCTCTGACAGCTTCCACTCTGCCCGGTAGCGCAAATCATCTCTTTCATCGCCTGAATCTACCAGTTCAATCCTCAAAAACATGTCTTTCTCCAAGATCAGTGAAGCTAACACGGAGTCTGCAGCTGGTCTGGCTCTTGGCAGTCTCGGGGAGGATCGGGAAACGCCACGACAAGGGGGCAGATCACTTTTAACCCCCCTGCTTTGGACTTCCTCTTTCTCGTGTTTCACCGATGTACATTCTTTTTCATCAGAGGTAGATGTACTTGAAGAGCTCCCATTGGTTGATTCCGAGCTGACGGACGACTGTGTGTCCTCTGATTGGTCAAGGTCCACATGGTAGGCTACTTTCCTGGTACTTTGTCTGTTGATGGACAGACAAGGAGGCCATCGGAGGGAGAGACATCTCGTCATTGCCAGCCATACTTCCTGAGGCCTGAAGGGACCTGACCTCTGAGGCTGATTTGTGTTACAAACAGCACCCTGTTTCTCCAATAGCATGCAATGTGCTGATAATTCTGCTTCCACCAGCTCTGCTACTCCATTAGAGTTTGTTGGCGACAGTTCTTCTTCTCTGTCCACATTCTCTGGCTGTAGCTGAGGATCTTCTCCAAAGCTGAAAGAGCCGCTGAACCTCTGGCTCCTCTTCATCGCTCTTTCTGCTTCCACATCTGAATGTGAAGATGAATCTTCATCCGATGAGCATCCATGTGGCGAGGACTGATCTTTGCAATCTGTTGACCCTGGATTCTCTTCGGACTGAGAGGAGCTACTCGCCCTCTGGCCTTTCCTCATATTTGGGCAAATAAGCCTCTCGTTTTGCCTAATATGTCAGCTGCCTTCTGCTGCTCTTCTTTCGGCTTACAAGAAAATATATTGAAAGGAACGAAAAAAGAAATGTAATCAAGGCTATCACAACAACAACAACAGCCGCAGCTCTGTTAGCATGGCACTTTCTGACATAATCTCTGCTTCAAGAGGCACAGCTTTAGCAATGGAGATGGGCAGCGATGACGCTGTGTTGTCATGTGCCCACACACACACACACACACACACACACACACACACACACACACACACACACACACCACACACACACACACACACACACACACACACACACACACACACACACACACACACACACACACACACACACACACACACACACACACACACACACACACACACACACCACACCCCTGCATGGCTATGTGTTCACGCTCCAGTCGAGTGAGCCGTGACTTGCCTCAAAGGGAAGTGATGTCAAATTGCATGATGTCATACCTAGCCGCGAACCAGGAGTCTGAAAATGGTTTGTGTGAGCGAGAGCGCAGATGGTAAAAAAAGATGCGCGCCTTCCAAAATTGACCTAGATGTGCAAAAGGGCAGTCTTAATAGATACATGTTGTTTTTCATTTCGCCCTATTCATTTGACTCTAGCTCTTATTGCAGGCATTAGTATTCCAAATAATATATATTTTCTTTTTGATTCTTTTTCGTTTTGTTCTCAAAGTATAATTGTGTAAAAAAGGTATTTGTAAGGTCCCGATGCGAGTATTTAGACCCAGAAGTGTTTCAACAATCTGTAAGTGTACCAAAAGAAAGATTTAAATAGAGGGTAGCAAGAAAATATAACGAAATATACGAAAACATCCAATTTATTCTGTACAACAATGCTCTTCTATTACATGAGATAATTTATTCATGCTTATACTTATCAATGTTTGCCTACATGTTGTTAGATAGTGAAAGGTCTTTAGGGACAGAGACCCTGAGTGTACCCCCCTATAGTGCTCTATGTGTAGAGTATATGAGTGTACGTGTATGTGGGCGTCTGTCTGCCAGCTCGGTGAGTACCTCCTGTCCCAGGTCGACAGGTTGTAAGGTCACTCGCTATCTTCCTTGCTTTTCCTTTTATGGTTAGAACGGCTGCTCAGACTGCACATCACGTTCATCGTACACCTTCTTGCATCATCTCGGGACATGGGGCCACTGCAGACTCCAGACCAGCCGACCTTATCGCAGAAAGACACACATGCTACAGCTGATAGTATCTGGTGAGTCAATTTTGGTGTACGGGGCTGCATATCAGTAAGATAGAGGGTCACTGGAATGATGCCAGATAGGTAGCAGATATGAGAATACCTTCATGAACTGTTACATATATCATGAGCGGGGATGAGGAAATGCAGAACATTACAATAAGAAAAAAAGAAATAGAATGCCAGATAGAAAATAAAACAATAATAGTAAAGATAAGATAAATAAAAAGATTAGACCAAAAGTCACCGTTACGTAATGGCTATATAATCCTAATATTATAAATCCTTATGGCATGGGCTGTGTGCTCTCAATACTTGAAAAAAACATTCGCTATTCAATTTCTCCCAACTATTATAGTAAACACGGTGTGGCCCTTTCTCTGTGCGGTCAACCTTTGAACCAGATCCGTGATGAACGTGTCAAACAAAGTGTTGAAAAGAATCTGAGAATTGATACTGAATATTTCAAATTGCTTTCAATGCTTATTTGCTGCAGTACATACACATGAGTACGCTGAGCTCTCTGCTCTACCTTTTTTCAACAACAAGTATACACACATAATGCTGTAGATTTGTTAATACAAATCTAAAGTTGTATGCCCTCAATGGTTTGTTAATTTTCCCCTGTGTGGTGTCAAAAATTATAATGAATATTGATATTTAATTAAGGTTTTGTTTCAAAGATACAAATTCCAGGATCATGACAACACTAGTCACACGTTTTAGGGAATGAGGTCATAATAAAAATGTCTGGTGCTCATTGAATTGGCAAGATTGATCATTCACCTCAGCTCAGTCAGAAACACATCAATGACTTATTTTGTATCTGATTGCAGTTTAATCAGCATAAATTGTTTTCTTGAACAGCCAGATAAAGAAAGTCCTCACACATGTGGTATGTATACATTTGAAAGTCACCTCACTCTAAATAAGTGCTTTAATTCTGTAACTGAATGAGGAAGTGATTGTATCGGAGTCATTGATGCTGCATCGGGAATGCAGTGGTGGGAGAGTAGACAAATATGGAGAGGCACGCTGCCTTTACCCTAAAATGTCCCCTGGCAGACACACAGGGCTTGGCTGAACACTATGCCATTGCCTCCCCAGAGTAAGTATGACTCAGTGTTTGCCTGCAGTTTTCTGCAGTGTCTTCTGACCTAGTCTGTATCCAACTGTGGAAATTACAACACTGATGATGAATAATTTATCACAAAAAGTTCCATATTGTGGAAAGGATGCGGCTGAAATTGTTCTCTTCACCTAATTGTTAAATCGCTCTTCATAAATCAGTCAATTGGTTACTCACCAAGGTAGGAAACAAACAACAATGCAGTGATTCATTAGCCAGGGGGAAACATTTGAAATATTAATAAAAGGTTGGAGGTGTTGAACTAACTTGTGGAGATGCCATACAACTTTCATCACAATCTCATTGTGATTTGATTATTCATATCTGCAGCACTAAACACTGTAGCTATAGTGCATATACCAACAAATCCTCTCTTGAATCTAAAGACAGTTGAAGTTACCTTTATCTGAGCCCTTTGATAACCTTCTTAAAAGTGTAACTTAAATTAAAAGTGTTATTCAAGCACACGTGACCCCAGTTCAAGGATACAAAGTTACACAAGCAGGGAAAGGTGGAGTTGGAAAGCCAACTGAGACCCCTTCATTAAACATTCATGTAAGCTTTGGACAGAGTAGCTTTGCAGGTTATTTTTCCATCCACGTGGCTATTTTTAGACTGCATTCTTATACATTATTCACTCTAACCGAGGGGGAACCCGTATACAAGCCATTAAACTCACCCTAAGGTCTACTGAAGTTCGTTCAAATGTCTAATTTATTAGGAGCAGGTGAGTCGAAAAGCCACTTTAGCTTCACGCAACAGGCGAGCCAGGCGAGGGCGCAGTGAGTGCACTCCTCATACTTCCTCACACGGGAGGTGAGCTCCAGCCGGAGAAGCGTGCGGCTGTAACGCGACTTCTGATTGGTTTAGGTTATGCAGCGGATATGTGAAACTCACTCCCATTGGACAGCTGTACGAAGGCGGAGCCGTGCATGGCATTTCATTGATATAGCCTACAGCTGGTGGCTCCAGACTCGCCACACGGACTGGAAGGGCTATGAAAGTGACGAAGGCTTGATGTAGGGGTTTTTAAAGAAGGCTCGAGAAGTGTTTTATTATTTTTTTAAAGGTGGCAAACCAAAGATTAGCAGAATACACAGCCAAAATGCTCTGCCACGTTACTCGTCCGGATTCAGTGGTGATGGAAGTGGAAGTTGATGCGAAGGCGAACGGTGAAGACTGTCTGAATAAGGTAAGCTGTGGTGGAGAACACATCACGTTTTGTTAATATAATACCTTTTTTAAAACGCAGTGTCATTGTCAGCTACGGTAGCGATGATTTTGTTGCCTGGCGAAAGTTTAGATGTTCCTAAACTTCAGCTCAATTCTTAATTTGACTCCAATGTGTGGGTATAAAGATTGCGAAATTAAACGACAATGAATGCTAAATAAGATGTATCGGCTGCTTGACATAACATTAACTGTGGATATAATCTGTTAACACAACTATGGATACATCAGCCTTATTGTTGCACATGGGTACGCGGAAACAAAATGTTCTCCTGCGCCCATCGTGCCAAAAACCAAACATCTGTTCAGGACAATGAAACCTTAGGATGTCGAGTCATTCTCGAAAAGCACGACTTGATGTACATGAAGGAAAGTTCTGATGCATTGTGGTAACACTGCTGTCGTCTACCTGCATGGCTTAGTCAGAGGCAGATGGCTTTGTCCAGGTTACTTGAGTTCATTCTTCTTCTGCCTTTTGTAGGCGTTCTCGCTACTTAGTTGCTTGCTGACATTTACCTCTTTTCCTCCAAAGTGGACATAAACAGGGTGGCATGCGAACTTTTCCTTTCATCAATAGCCTTAAGTTGTTTTTTCCCCCACTTTTTAAAAAGCTACTTCAAATGCATGGCAACTTGCCGGGGGATGAATGAGTTTTATCTCAGCCTCCGGGCTCCCTGCAGACCACCACCAGCAGTTATGTAATAACCCCATGGCCGCTAAGGGGGCGTGGGATTGTGGGTTTGATGAGCCCCTTTACCCCGGGAGAGACTCCAAGTTTACTTCCATCCTATCGTGTGCTTTAGAATATTGATGGGATTTATCTGTGTAAGAGTAGCACCAGGGGAGCAGAAATCCTAATGAACTAAGTGATAAAAGCAGCCCTATCTTCCTCTGCCTCTTAAATCTTGCAAAACTTTATTGATTCTCGGGAAATGTGTTGATTCTTGCTGGGAGATTAAAGCCAATATGTATAGTCCTCTTCAAGGACATTTAAGCCTGCTGTAAAAACTCAAAATGTTGAGTGTAGAGTCAAAGAAAGATGCACTTTCAAATCAACTGTAAAGCTACCTCTCTCTGATGTCCCATACACTATCAAATCAACTATAAAGCTACCTCTCTCTGATGTCCCATACACTCTTCAAATAACAGTGATAAGATCCCTTTTTACAAATTTATTTTTTCAAAATCCATTATGTGACCCTGTTCGTTAATAAATGTGCAATATACATACCCGGCTGCTATATCTTCATAACTGTTTTTTCTATGGTGTAATTTTTGTATCTTTTAAAAAATGTTTTTAATGCATGCTTCTTATTTAACATTAAGCTGTCTTTGGCTCTTTTCTGCTGTAACACATGTACATTGCCCTCTGTGGGACGAATAAAGGTATTCTGATTCTGATTCTTTAATCTCTTTCCAGGTTTGCAGAAAGTTGGGCATAATTGAAGTGGACTACTTTGGGCTGCAGTTCACGGGCAGCAAAGGAGAGAACCTGTGGCTGAATCTGAGGAATCGCATCTGTCAGCAGATGGATAACGTGACGCCGTGTCGACTGAGGCTGAGGGTCAAGTTCTTTGTGGAGCCCCATCTCATTCTGCAGGAACAGACTAGGTTTGTTTACCATCTCACGTGCTTGCACAGACTTTGTTTGCATGCAACATGAACGTCTTCACATTTGTTTATGGGCCTATGAACAGATAAACTTTCCACTTCCTGTTTGCAACATTATCTCGCATCTGCTGAACCGCTTCAAATTCACCAGAAATCAAATCTAGATGTTTTTTTTATTGAAACACTTTTAGTAATGCATAAGACATGTAATAATGAGCACATGACGGAAAAACAAACCCGTTGTTACAGTTTCCACAGCCTAATCTAATCACTGTGGACAATACAGTAGAATGCCCTGTAGTAACCTCTTCGCTGAGCCGGGGTTACTAAAGTTCGTTCTGGCAGGAAATGTGATCCAGCAGCCCTGGGGGTTTGTGCCGCTTTGCATCTGCCCCCAGGGACCCTCTGTGCGACAGCCAGGACCTCTGTCACTGCCCCCATTCAACTCCAAATAACTTTTGTTGTGCTTTTTCTGTTTAAATTGTTTGTGGCCATTTTTGTCTGAACAAAAGCACACTCCACTATTCGATTTTTTGCAGGTGCTGTATGGAAACTGAGATAGGCCTGTGTCTAGTGTTTTTTCCTTCATATGATATTATCAATATGAGTCTCTGCATACATAGTGACATTTATAATCATGTTTTAACGCACCCGGATATACATTTTACGGATATTCTTTTCTGTGCTCTTTGAGAGATATTTTATCCCAGCTATATTTATTTTAGTAAAACAATAGCCAGCCAAACAAAACCTCCCCTGGCAGTTTACACAATTATCCTAGCTTGAGGAAACAAAATATTTGAAACAAAATAACAAGCCTTGACAAGTCTAATTCCTGACTTGGATATTCATGTCCCCAGTTTCATTTTAAAGTTATAAATAGCAATTGCTCTCGGAAACTGCCCAAAGAGTTGTTTAACACACAGTGTCTGTGTGATGCTGTGGATGTTATTGTCACCTCAGGTGGTGCCGTCATTGTTTGATACTGCAGGGATGGAAGTTGGAACCATAGATGAGAAGGCAGGGCAGACTTTGGATCGGAATCTGTTTTGGTGGGCTGCTCTTGCCCCCTCTCTTTCACACTCAAACACAGCGTGCAACTAGAAGGGTTCATTAAACCGACATGTATCTGCCTCGGCCAGTAATTGCCTGGCATTCTGCTAAGCTCTGTTGTTCTCCACTTCACCACTGGCTCTCCTTCAGCTGTTTCTCTCATTGTGGCCTATATTCCACTTTTCCTTTTTTTTTCTTTTGAAGAAAAAAAGTGAAAGGCACGGGGGAGAGTGTGATAGTTGAAGACACTTGCCTGCACTCTGAGCTCCACCAGATAAGCAGGGGTTATCAACAGATGGCTTGCGGGGTGGGGGTCATGGGGTTTGTAAAAAAAAAAAAAAAAAAAAGGTGAGATAAAGATGTTAGATGGCAATCAAGGGGTGCTGCTAATAAAAACTCACACATGGCACACACCAGCATGCTGTCAAGTTATGAGTTTAATTTTGGCAGAGCCTTTCTGCCATCCATCTGCTCAGATGTGATTATAAGCAAGCTCAACACAGGGCGAGAGATGTTGACAATACACAGCAGGGGCATTTTGGGAAAACTAGCATGTCTGGAGAAACTGCTACTGTATATCATTTAAATGTGTTGTGAAATGATACATGGCATTTCTGCTGCTCATTTCCTTTTCTTTAAGGTCCCATTTAACATATCCATTTTGTGGTCACCTTTGACCTACTTTAGGCTACCACTGCCTCCATGTTCAGTGCAGGCATGCTTCCAGGCAGGCAAGCATGCAGAGCTCACAATGGCAAACACATTGCACATTGTTGTTAGTCACATGCCTCTTGGAATGAGTCCAATTCTTAAGTTGTTAATTTAGATAGGACACAACACCGCCTTATCTACTCTCACGAACAATGTCAATTTGTGAACGAGTTTTAAAAGTTAAAACCAAGCATGAGTCACTTCAGTATAAATGTGAGCGGGAGTTAATGTTCCCCTCAGAACGTACACTCAGCAAAAAGGACTGCATGGTTCCACGACTCTCAGTTGAGCTGCGGGGAGGGCCTCTTTTTCAGCGCTCTCCTTATAGGCCTTATTACATAACCTGCAGTGCACTGGGCGCACAGAGCTGCTTATATAAGCTGTTGTGTACTCTGCTTCCACGTAAAGCCTCGCAGGTCACTTGCATGTTCTTGCTCACATGCAGCTGAATATTTGGGTACTTGCTTACGTTTATCTTCCTTTTTTTGGTAGTGTCTAATTTACCTCGAAACTGCACTATCCAGGATAAAACCATAGTCATAGTATTTAAACCCATTTCCTAGACTCCATAATACCTTTGTAAACTTTTCACCTAGGTTTGGTTTCTACTACTGAAAAAAAGGCTGTCTCTATTTAAGTTACACGGCTTAAGTTGAGCTTGATTCCATGGCAGCAGTATCCTCTGCTTCTAAGACCCTATTTTCCTAATCTCATTGCTTAAGATTCTCACTCTCACAACTCTACCAAGCTTGTTTTATAAATCTCGTAAATTTCCAAATTATTTTGTAAACACATCTGATTTGCTCTGTTTCTGTGAGCGTTCACTGATGGAAACGTTTTTATTGGTTAAGGGATTCTGGCCCAAGGGCCTCAACAAAACAGCCTGTGCTATCTGCATCATTTAACCCCACTTGCTAAGGGGTGCCTCTGCTTTAAGTATGTGAATGTTTTCCCTTCATTAGCACTTGTATTTAACATTCTGATCAGGCAAACATTGGATATCCTGAAAGGGCAAAGCTGTTGGTACAGGATTTATTAGAGGTCCTGATTGTTAACCTGTTTACCGCCCCATGTTTATCTGAAATCTAAACAAGAAGCCACATTAGTTTTAACCAATGAAAAATCATTATTAATAACTATCATTATTTGCATGCAATTTTATTTTTATTTAATTGTATTCCAATGAAGAGTTCCTTGTTCCACCAAGCAGGCGCTAGCTAATAAACTAAGCTAAGAAAACTAAAAGACAAGACATTTATTTCCATAAATAGGACATAACGGTCTGGAAATAATTCCACACTAGAATTATTTAAATCTAATTTTAAGAAGTTTGCTCTACTGATATCATTGCTCTCACATGACACTGTTCCTTCCTTCTTAAATCATCCCAGGCAGTTCAGAGACATGCAGGTCAGTGGTACTAGAGGCTAGGCAGAGGTGAAAGTGTGTGTTGACCTGCAACAGACTATTGATCTGTCCAGGGTGTTCCCTTGCCTTTCCCAGAGTGAATGGATTGGAGAGGTTTCAATTTAATGTAGCATTTGTAGAATAGATCAATTGAGAACAAATATTTTCAAATAAAAGGTTTGACTTTGCAGGGATACCAACAATTACATTAATAATCATGAATAAAATGCAGCAGCCCTACAAAACCTTTGCAGTCTGAGAGTAACATTAGTATACTTGATATTCTGCACGATTCAGCTTAATCATCGAGCTTCTCTACCAAAATCTCTGAAAAAACTTTCAAGGTTATTTATTCCGGTCACACACAAGTTAAAATGTGTAACTAACTGTTGCAGGCTACAGAGACAATCAAGCCAAAGATCACTGAAGAAGCCTGTGGGCCTTCACCTCCCTTTCTTTATTGCCATGCTTCATTGTCGGTAATTAGTAGCTTTTAGCATCCATAAGAGTTTGTTTCCTCCTGAACTGGAGTAACCTACCCTGATTTTCGTATTTAAAGTCATAACATTCATTAGACCTTTCCGAAGAACGACAGATTTGTTTTATTTGTTTGGCGCCTAAACTTTGATTGCTGATCTTTAATCACTGTTTTACCATTCAGTACAGAGCACCAGCCTGTAACAGAAGGCAGTTAGCATACAAACAGCTTCTTTGTTTTATTGCTGTACAGCTTTCAGTTCAACTTGGAACAGAGCAAAGGCACATGCTATTTAGAGCTTGCCATTTGCAACTTTCTGATAAATAACACAATGCTAAAACCTTTATTTTTTAAGTTTAACACTCTGACTTTCCATTCAGCCCACACCATGGGGGAAGATATTCAACAGGGTCTACTATAGTTCATTGACCGCTAGTAACCTCACAGCACACAGCTCCTGGCCGTGTGTCATTTGACTCGCTTACAAACCACATTGTTGAGAGCCCGACCGATGAGGTCTGAAACTCTTCTGGTGATTGGCTGGATGAGGTGCAGTCTCCAGGCAGAGGTGTTGGGTTTCACTTTGTGGGGACGTTTTGTTCTTCTGTGAAATGAACAGGCTGACATTCTGCCTACTCGGGGAATAGACATTGAATTAGGGCAGAAATCATAAAAAGGAGACAATGGGTTTTATAGATGGGTGGAACAGACTAGAGAGGGTTTAGTTGACTTGGTAATGAGTGTCTGGTCTTACTTGAAAACCCACGCCTATTCCTCCTTTTTGTCTGTGTGATCTAAAACTTGCAAAGATTTGTCAAATTTTTATATAATAAGTTGCTTAAAATGCCCTGAGACTGCAGTTTGGGATTGTATCTGTGTTGTATTTATGGTTCAAAGACTTGGAATAAAACTGGAATAATCTGATCTCTGTAGCCACTGACCTATTTTGAAAACATTTTGTTTCCAGGGTTCAGGCCTGCTTTAATTGAATTATTCCAGCCAGGCTATCAGGAATTCAAACATTGTTGCAGCACTCAACATGACCTCCCTTTCCACTACAATCACTGTTTGAATACCCTTTATGTCTCCTTTGCTGTTAGCTTTCCCCTCGGTATTTATGAATGTAAATAAGTAAGCCTCTTAAGACTTTGATTATGGTTTATCTCCCTTGTAGGAGCAATGAGATGGACACAGTGTAATACACTAAAGCAGGGCACTGACTTACAGTGTTCCATTTGTCTGGTCTGAAGAAAGAGGCGATGATGACTGCAGGGTGCACAGATGATGCATGTGTATGTGTCTTATAGTAAAGTGTGTGAGTCACTGACATGGGGAATCCAACGCGCTGAATAACAGAGGAGTGGTCTAGCTGCTGGGGAAACAATGGCATCCTCATGTCCCAACAAGAGACAGAGTTCAAGTCATGAGATTCTGTCTAGCCTCGTCAGCATAAATAAAATGGTTCCAGACAAATCCAGTCACTCCCGATCAGTCGGCCTCGAACGGTGTGCCCACTTGGGGAAACATTTCCAAAAACATTAAAACTAAAATCTGAGTTCTGTGTAAACCAATCCATCTCAACCACCATGTTGACAGAGTTAAGATTCATGGACCGTTGTCTCTCCCAAGCCCTGAGTGTAGGATGGACCTTGAAAATGCTGAGGCAGCAATTCAGCAGACTAACTGTTATCTGAGGTGAAGCTATCTGCTTTAATATAGAGGCAACAGAAGACAGCACGGTAATCTGTACAAAACTGTTGCCCTTGTTGTTATCATAAGAGTTCTGCACTAAGCTTGTACTGAGAGCAGATACAGTAGCATTATATCTTCACCGGATCCTCAGTGGGAGAAATTGTTACCCTCTGCTTGTGAAGCAGCTGTTCGTTGCAGATTGTCATGTGTTTGTGTTGTTTGTGTTGTTTGGCAGACTGTTTGGCAGACTGAGTGCATATCTGATGCATCTCATTCAGCCCCAGGGAAGTCAGGCAGGAACAGCCATCGTTGAACTGAAGTTACCTCAGTTGCAGAACCCGTTCACCTGTTCCATTCCACAGCTTATAATTGGTGATTTATTCCCAATGAAAATTGGAAATTGATTTTGAAACTTAGCTCAGCAAAGCAAACACCTGTTTACACATGGGTGCCCGCATGAACCCAGGAATGCACGAGTCAGATGTCTTGCTCAGCAGCCTGGTGGACAAATAGTCCATATCGTAGCAGATGGTTGGTAAAGTGGAGCAGCTGAGGTTAAAACTCATCAGTGGTGGTGAAGTAAAATGACTAATAACACACTGTAAAAAATACTCAAGTACAAAATGACCTTGATGATGGATGTCAATGATATTTTAATTGGCTAAATTAACCAACTAAGCTGTTATTGTACAATATTTCCAGTGAATTGTAATGGCGTTTAACTATAAACTCGTTCCTCATTATTGTACATACCGTACTTGAGTAAATGTACTCTGTACATTCCACTCCCGAAACGAGTCATGTGGCATATTCTGTCGACGACACCAAACTAACAAGCCAGGACTCGTTCTGAAGAAAGCTTTTTATGATATGAAATGCCTTGCTCAGCTTCACAGTAACCTGGATTTACATGTTCCAATCCCTGCATGAACTATAGTAACCTCCGCAGCCTGCCCTGTAATAAACTGGAGGCAGACCTATTGTTTGCGTCAGGCAGGTAGCTAACTAGCAGCGCTTCATCACATGACGCCTGCTGGGCCTGACACAATAGAGATCAGTGTTTGTGTGTGTGTGCGTTGGAGGGAATGGGATGTTTAACACCATATCAAAGCAGTGTTTGTTATGCCTGAGGCTGGACAGCTACGGGGCTTCGTTGTTATGGTCTGGCTTTGTCAGGGTGGTGGAGACTGGCTTTGTTTGTGTGCCTCATAGCTGCTTTTGCTACTGTTGCTGCTCCTTGGAAGCACGTGCATATGTGTTCGGTGAGGTGTGCCTTGTTAATGCATACTGAAGATGTTGCAAAACACAACTGTACATATTCTCTTATGCCCTCAGTTGTCCCTCAAGAGTCTGGCTTTGAGTCCCATAAGGAGACGGAGGAAATGTCAACTCCATATTGTTCCTGTATCTCCCACGAGCATCTCAACACTACGCATTTTCTACGTTTTCAAAACACAATGAGTTGATATTAACTTAATAAAGGTGCGTTAAGTGCCGCCTTCCCCCTCCACTCAAGGGTCCCCTCTAAAATATCCTCAAGTCATGGTATGACCTGATTTGCACAAATGAAAATGTCTCTGTTCGCATCATGCTTCAAAGAGAACTGTAGCCCGAAGGAGTTTTCTTTTTCTTAGTCGGAAATAACCAGCAGTTTCTGGCGCATTCTGCTTTTAGTCTACCACATCAGGATGCGGTGGGCCAAAAACTCAACAGCCATTTTTTATGTTCACACATTACAATGTTCTACAAAATAAACTCTTGTCTGCACAGCAAGCCAACATTATACTTTCATTTCTGGCATTGTCAAGTCTGAGCTGTCTGAGCTGAGTGTCTATAGATCAGGAGGGTTACACAAGGTCACTGCATCAGCACTGGATATTCAGGTATTTGATTTGAGATAATAACAGATGGCAACACCAGGATGTTAAAATGCAACAACTGAAGTCTACTGGCAAAACAAAAGATTTGCAGCCAGTAAACAACATTTCCCAGTGACAAGCTGTCGGACTGGTTTGTAGAAGCAGCTGACTTAAGACTATCTTAGAGTTACTGTGTCATAGGTAATCTCAAGGAAGGATCAGTTTGGGTTACTTTAGTTCAACACTCTTCATGAAGGATTGAGTCATTCAGGTTGTTATTCCTTTTGACGTTTTGTCTCCTGCTGCTAGAAGGAAAGAATTCCTCACATCTTCTGGTCAAAACAATGGAAAGGACCTGCCGTTGATTATTTGTATTGAGCATTTAGCTGTTTTCCTTTTCCACAGCAGAACTCAATGTTCTCATTTATTAGTTCAGCCCAAATGGTAACAATTGTTGTTTTTGACCAACGTTAATCTTTGAACTATTTTCCCAACTGTCAAATAAACACAGCTTTTTTTCCAAACAAGAATTCCCCGTGCAAAACAAGACCAGTGGAGGCTTGTCTTGAAATAAGCATATTTCTGGAGTGTGAGGTTACATTTGACAACAAGCCACAGAGACATACAGGATGCCAGCCATTGTAACTAATTTCCATTATTGCATTCAACTTCAGACTTATCAAGGTCATGTATTGGCCAAGCAGATACAATTCAAGCACTTTTGCCTTCTGACTCACCATGTTAAAAGTCCAAGTACTTCCCCTACTGGGAGAAAACGTACTCTCCCCCTCTCCACTTCCACTTTTAAACCTGTCAATTCACACTTAAGGAAGTTCTTGTAGTTTGTTCTGAGGAAGAGATTGAAAAAGAGAAAGTGTCTTTGTGGCCACCAACCAAATATCAGTTGCTTTTCCCTCTGCTGCTCACACACCCCCCTGGCGCATGTGGTGCAATTCTGGCTCGGTAATGACCACCTGCTCCGGCCTATGTGCTCCAGATGCCCTGACTCCTCAGCTGTTACACATGAAAGTCGGTTAAGAAACGCAATGGCTGACATGACTTTATCTCAAATATATACGTTGCCTTAGTTTGTTGAATTTATTAACCTAAATGGCAATTCAAAGATTTGGCATTTGACCAATGTATTCTTCTCTTCTCGTCCGACAGACACGTGTTCTTCATGCACGTGAAGGAGGACCTCCATAACGGGCACCTACGGATGGGCTCAGAACAAGCCGAGGAGCTGAGCTCGCTCCTGGCACAGGCAGAGTTTGGGGACTACAACCAAAACACAGCAAAGTACTGGTACTCCGAGCTGTGTGGAGAGGATCCCAGCACGGCCACCATGAACAGGTACATCACTCTTTAAGAAAAACAACATTGGCCTCTAGAAAAGCATGGAGAGTAAATTCCATGAATGCATAAAAACATTTTTCTTATTGCATTTCTGGCCCACAATCGTTCTGTTCTCTCTGCATTTTACTGTAATAGAACCCCTACCCTGACATGAAACCACCACTTATGACGTTGGAATTTTTATTTTACACAAGACAACTGGAATTTGAACACATAACTAATAGCCCCCTATACATACAGTACACGTTAACAAGCCCTGGCTAATAATTAAAACCTGTTCCCTCCTGAATCTCTGCCCCCCTCCCATCTCTGAGGGAGATAGTCTATAAAGATATGATAAGTAAATAAAAGGTCTGGAATAATCTGATGTGGCAGCTGGTGTTCAAGGAAATGAGGACATGTAAGAAATCAAAATGCTACCCTGAACAACCAAAAAGTAACAAAATGCTACACTGAGTTTACCGGTGGTGGCTTTAATACATTTGCAGCCTTTGTATATAAAGTGAAGAGGTGAAAGACTTTGATTGGGGGTATATCTCACACTTATTTTTTCAGCTAAGATGCGCACGCACACACACAGATCAGTCAAACGGCAGCTGATAAGAGATCAGATAGCGTGTGTTTGCACAGTTTCACTAACGGAACCTCCATACTGTAAACCTTGAATTTTTTCCTTGCAAACAAGAATAGAGTAACATAGTTTTGCTACTGCAAGGTTTTGGAGTCCAAGAGCATAGATCCCATCGCATTGTGTAAACGCAGCAATGCCTGTCCCACCTACAACTAATGGGAACTTATCTAAGAACTACTGCATTGTCTCACTTTCCAGTTGCTGTCTTTGAGTAGAGAGCCTTAAATAATACAGTAGGCAAGTTTATTTATATAGCACCTTTCAACACAAGGCAATTCAAAGTGCTTTCCAAAAATGAAAAGCACTAAGAAACGTATTATAAAAAGGCATTTGAAAATACTCATTTAAAAACATGAATAACAAAGGTACATGAATAAAAGTTACAGTGCAGTTTGAGACACACACATCTGAAATGTTTAGGTCAATCATTGCTAACTTTTTTAGCAGAAATAGTTTTCTATGAGCTCACCTTCTTTCTACTTTCCTTTTTAACTTATCCTTTAGTTATTTCTAGTGTTTCATGCTAAACGAACCCCCCTTTGGAAAATTCTAATCTGACCCCATGGTACCTTTTTTTGTTTTCGCCAAAACTATCCCTCTTTTTTAAATGCACATTAGTTAAGTTTACCTTTTTTGGTGTCCTCCAATTATCAAGCCTCCTCTCCCAACTGCTATAATAAACAATTTGACATGTGCTGCATTGAAACAGACCTCCACTCACCTCCAGCCTACTATGTATGCACGTCCTTGCACTTCCAAAAAATGACTTTGAATACATCTGAATAATCTCTATATTGTGGATTACTAGAATATTTTAAGGGTAAAATACATATTACGTTGGGTTTTAAAAACAAATGCTACTGTGTTTTTTTTATATACACAAAAAAGGTACCTAAAAAACAACTTTTATTACAGTTATAAGAGTATACTCAAATTGTACTTGTACCACAGCTGGGCATTTGGGATTTTCCAGCAATTTTCCTGGACAGTCTGTTGAAATCAGCAGGCTGTTACTATTGCTAAAATAAGCCTTCAGCTAAGCTGCCCAAGTATTGATCTCATAAGTATAGTTGTCAGAAAGAACCATTTTAGCATCAGTTCTCTGCCTGAGGGCGTGTTAACTTTGACAGCTAAAACACTCTAGTGTGTTATTTATCCTGCTCGTATAATACTCCCGCCACACCGGTTGCACCATGGTAACAATGTGATCTGTATGCTAAAGCTTGTGTCAGAACGATATTTCCAATCTGAGCTTTAAAGCTAAATAAACTCAAAGGGTTTTTCTTTTTTTCCTTTCTCTCCCCACCCGTCTCCCTGTGCAGCATCATTTCCAGACACAAGGCTCTGGAGGGTTTGGGCCCGGGCTCTGTGGAGTACCAGGCCCTGCAGCTGGTCTCCTCTCTGGAGCATTACGGCGTGGAGTGGCACTGGGCGCGCGACGCAAACGGCCAGCGGCTCGCCATTGGAGTCGGCCCTGAAGGCATCGCCATTTGCAAGGAGGACTTCAGTTTAGTCAACAGGTATGTTTCAACTAGACGAATGCAATTAGCTCTGTGTACTTTTATACTAATAGTACTCTTCATGTTGCAGATATACATCTTTTGGGGTTTTAGGACAGAATGTGTTATTGAAGAATATTCAACATGTAATGGTTTCTTCCCTTTTTGCTCCATCTTTAGAATAAGCTATCCAATCATCCAGATTGCAACCCAGTCGGGGAAGAGTGTGTACTTGACGGTAACCAAGGACACAAATGACAGCGTGGTGCTTTTGTTCAAGCTGATCAGTAACCGGGCAGCCAGCGGTCTGTACCGAGCCATTACAGAGACACACGCCTTCTACAGGTGAGAGATAAAAAAACATACTGTATTCAAACCCAGATCAATGACTAAGGCTATATAGCTGTACAGTCAGAATTAAATATATTAATAACTACTCAATGTTCCACTGCTTACCTTTAATTAAAGGTATCGTATAGACATGTGGTGAACCAAGATATAAATTAAAATATATTTTGGGCTAAGCTTCTCAGTTGATTTCTGTTTTTCTTCATGTCTGTTTACGCTCTTCGCTACAGCTGTTAGTCATTCATAAACCTGACCTTAAATGTGTTGTGTGCACATTTGTTCTGCTCCATTTAGCACGTAGTTGCTCCTGAGTATGCACTCTCACACAATTGTACACATCGACTAACTGCTGGTACAAATTCTGCAAAGTGGGACCCATAAAACCTGTAATAGACCTGATCAGTGTGCATGAACAGGGAGATCGTGCCGGGCCATCTTTAGTAGAGTCGGAGAGATTTGAGTCTGTCTGAATTATGCAGTGAGCAGGAACAATTCAAATGGCTGAGCTATGAAATTGTTGTCAATCAGTCACAATGGTACAAAGGTACAAAAGACAGCCCTGTCCTTTTGTTTCAGGGATGGGTTTTAGCTCAGAGTCTGGAAGGAATGTCTTCTTCCTGCTTCCTCAGAAACAAATGTTTATCTGATAGGAGGTGGCACGCAACAGGATGAACATGAGTTTCCTGAATATTACGTGCGAATGGAGTATTGGATAAACAGACATACTACCCTCCACAGTTTGGGGAAGAAGAGGCTGTACATTTTACATTTATATTCAATTTAATAACCCACTCCTGGCACAATTAATGTATATATAATGTCCTGCTTTATATTTTGTTAATGTAAATTTGTATTTCCACATGTATATTTTTTACTTTTTTTTAATGCTATTTTATTTCTATTTGAGATGTTTCAATTGTTTCTCTTATGTACTATACCTTGTCTTTTTATGCTGCTGCAACGCAAACATTTCCCAAATTGGGATCAATAAAGTACTTATCTTGTAAAATGTTCAAATGCTCAGCTTTTGCTGACTGTAGAAGTCATGTCTTATCATTTTTCTAATCACATCCTATTTCATTTCTAGGTGTGACACAGTAACCAACGCAGTGATGATGCAGTACAGCAGAGACTTTAAGGGCCACCTAGCTTCCCTTTTCCTCAACGAGAACATCAACCTGGGCAAGAAGTACGTCTTCGACATCCGACGCACCTCCAAGGAAGTGTACGACCAAGCCCGCCGCGCCCTCTACAACTCGGGGGTCGCTGACCTGGGCTCTGGCAGCGGCGAGCGCTCCTCTCCCTCACGCTCCCCCAGCCGAGACGACCCCCAGGACGAGGGGCTGGACTGCGGCAGCTGCCAGCAGAGCAGAGCGCTGCAGGAGCGGCTGCAGAAGCTCCGGGAGGCTCTGCTGTGCGTGCTCTGCTGCGAGGAGGAGATCGACGCTGCGTTCTGCCCCTGCGGACACATGGTGTGCTGCCAGTCCTGCGCAAACCAGCTGCAGGTGAGACTGTTGTTCCCTCTCTGTGTGTGTAGACCGGGAAGACTGATGAGTTTGTTTATAAGCCACGTTGGGGGGCTTTATCATTAGTGCGGTTAGCATTTCCACTTGTCATATTCACTGAGAAATGACCACTGCTGGCATTTGCTATAGATTCAAAGGTTTTATTGTCATATGCGCAAAGCTACAGTGTAGAAATGGCAATGAAAATCTTCTGACCTGAGCTCCTCCAACAATCCAACATATAATATACAAAAATAAAAAGTAGTGCAAAAAGTCTATATACATGTAAATAGAATATGATATGTACAAGAACGGAATATTAAATAAAATAATGTAAATTAAATATGGTTTATTGCGTGGATAACTATTTATATAAATATATTGCATATGCTGATGTCAACACCACCTTAGAAGCAGTATTTTATTAACTTGAAGTTTGCTTTGTTTTCCAAAAGCTCTTTTAAGTTTTAACTTCCATCCTTTTTTATAGTCCTCTGAGCAACATCCAAAGCTCTGCTTGCTCTCCGCTGACCCCTCACTTAATCAGCTAAATGTTGCCCCTCCATCTGAAGGCAGATGGTGAGTGTGAGTGTCTTATGGAGGGATTATAGCAGCCAGGCAGATCTTACTTCCATTTACTAAGAAACGTGACCCAGGTAATGGGGAAACGTGACCCAGGTAATGGGGAAACGTGACCCAGGTAATGAGTCAGTAGAAACTCAAGGGGAGAAGGAGAGTTCCACAGCTTTCAGCGTGATTATGGAAGCTGTTTTCCCATTATAGCAATCCATTACAAGCTTTCCTGATTTTAATATTAGCTTGTGTTCTGAAGGAGATTTGCCAGCATGTCCTTCAGTCTTAACTTGATGACCCGAGTGGTGACTCATTAGTTGCCTTGATGGCAGTCAACAGTCCTCTCCACGACTCATTTGATTGGAGAGCAAGTTTCCGTGACACCGCCTACTGTGTGATAATGGTTACTTATTTTGTTAGCTTGCCTTGCCCCTTTAACTTTCGCTGGCTTTGACACATTTGGCTTAATGTCACGCATCTGCTGGGAAATGTGGGTTGGCCCGATTTGTCACATTGTTAACTTGTTTTCTTAGGTTATTTTCTTTCTTGGAAGTGGCCAGGAAATGTGTGTTTGAGGGCTTTATTGCCTCAAGATCCCTTTTGATAAGCATAGAAAATATATTACACAGTAAAAGAGTTCACGTCTTAGTTGAACCACCTCAAATGTCCTTAATGTGAGTAAACAAACAAACACCCGATGCTTACTACTTTTCTCTTTCCTGTCCCTCAGCTGTGTCCCGTGTGTCGGTCGGAGGTGGAGCACGTGCAGCACGTCTACCTGCCCACCTGCACCAGCCTGCTGAACCTGACGCTGACCGACAACCACCAGCACCGCAGCCCCCCCGCACCCATCCACAGAGAACTGGCTTCTCCGCACAGCTGCTCTGCAACAGAGTACGAGCACAAGATCTACCACACATAAAGACAACTCCACCAAACTCCATTACGAACACTTTGAAGCAAAACCAGCCAGATTGAGGTTTCACGAAAGAAGAAACCTTCCTCGTCCATCTGCGTTTCCTGCCCGGAATCCAAGAACTACTAAACATTCAGAAGCTCGTGAGCATATTCAAAGATGGACACACTCAAACCACTCCTTCAACTAGTGTGTGTGTGTGTGTGTGTGTGTTTTATTGTTATTTCCCTTTGGATTGTCACTTTGTCTTGTTGGTTCTTAGTATTTGTTTGCATGTCATCTGTCCAAATCTTATTTTAAGACGGCCCCTGCCACAAGATGATTTTAGATTAGGCTCTTATTGTCCTTTAAGTTATTGCATCAGTTGACCTGGTACAGAATTGTTTTATTCATTTGTTTTTTCTTCGTTCCATATCAGACTCCTAGCCCCAGAACCATATCATAAAAGTATGTGCTTAGAAATGCCTAACACATTACCCGTCTTTATTTTAACGATTTGACATTTTAAAGCTTCCGTTTTGGATTTTGAGATCTGAATTTTATGTAGAGTGAAATCCGTTTTTTTAATCCATATTTAATTTCTTGTTTTTCATGTTTCCTATGCCAATTAGGGGGTCTTTGGAGGCTAAGCAGCTGCTCTGGGTGTATCGGTGCATAGTAATCGGGTGCTAAGGCCACCATGGTCCAGTTTTATGTGATCTCTGGATTAAATGTGGTTCTTTTAGCAAACTAGAAATGTGACCTTGAGTGTGAAATGCAGTATCTTACTTTCACAACCCCCCTAAACTCCAAACTGGACTTGTTTATTAACTGCCACTTTTCCAAAACAACAAGCTGGTTTCATAGACTGATATACCTTTCCATTTTGTATCTCCATGCCAACATAAAGTGGAAAAAAAAAATAGGAGCACTTGTACTGCTCTATACTAGACGCAGTACCACAAAATAGGGATTTGTCCAACAGCAGCTGCTTCCTCTAAAAACCTCAGCTATACATTTCGTTCTCGAGGGTGTACTATTGAGTTCCTGTTTCGATATTTTTTTAAAGGGTACTAGGAGATCTGTCTGTGCAATACTTGCTTGCTTTTTAAAAAGCTTTTCAGTTTTATTTAATTTCAAAAGACTATTTAAGAGAAAAAAAACATTGTCACTTTACCAAGGATGTTTTCCACGTCTGTAGAGGGATTGGCCTTAATGTAGCAGCGACATCGTGTTTATTATAAACTTTCGACAGACTTTTTTTCTGGTAAGAAAAGGAACACTTTTATTTCTTTGACGCTGACTCGATTAAGCTCAGTCACTGCAGGGGAAGGACTTTTATTTTTCACATTGTGCAAGTAGCGATTTGTTTCTGTTTTCTGAAGCAAAAGCCACCAGAAAGAAATCCTTTTTATATATTCAGTTTTTTTAACAAGAGAAAAGTATTAATAAAGTTTTTTTAAAACAAACTGCATTTGTCTGACATTATTGCATGTTTTGTCAAATAAAAAAACCTTGACCGGAAGGCTGTGGAGCCGAAGATCACTGGGTGAAATGGATAGGAAAAAACAACTAATTTGTCTATTTCCTTTTTCAACCTGCCTTGTCTTGTGAAGGCAAAATACGGAATGTGTTCATCTCCTTCAAGAAAAAACATTCTGTTTGGTAAAAGTGCTCACAAATTTCTACCAAGGCCATGAGTCTTTTCTAAAGCTTTAAATGGGTAAACAAGCAAAAAGAAGTTGAATAACTGCACTTGGCTGACAAGTCATTTCTGTCACGACACTCAAACACTCACGTTGTTCCCTTAAGCCGATTTACTGACAGTCAAAACTGGAATTCCCTCAGTCAAACTGCTGTCAAAATATTCTCTGTAAATTAACATGTCTTTATTTATATATTCTGTTTCTAAACAAGAAAAAGTATTTGTTTTTTTTAAACCTGGAATCCCCTTAGTCAAACTGCTGACATCATACTGTTCTTGGTTTAAATTTGCAAAGCTGTCACGATAAGTCAGTTAACCTGCTGTCTTGAAACAATCTGGCTCTTGTGGTTTCAGAGGACACATGGTGAGAAGAGAAAGGGCACAACGTGTTTTCTTGTCAAATGTCAGGCTGTGTGGAGCAACTACCTGCTGTGACTCTCCCCTCTCTCTCCAGCCCCCCAGGTCAATCCCACTCTGAAAGGTCAACACGTCCTTTGTCACTGTCAGACTAGGGGAGAGAGTTGAGATGAAACAAAGAGACTCCGTTTGTTGATAAATGACAAAGCTCCATTGGACTGTGATTATAACGTCTGCTATTAATCAGTGAAGCTGCAATTGATGAGTCAGACTTCAAATCCTGTCTCTGAAGTTTGAACCCCTCTTTTTTTCATGACCCTTTGGATGAGGATGCTTCTCTCCCCCATCTTTTTCTTCCTCTCATGCATCACTGCCATTAAACACACTCCAAGGACACTGATGACAGCAAGGAGGGAGAGACCTGAGTGCTGTGAAGTCAGTCAGCCAGGCAGAGCTCAAGTATCATTGCAGGTTGTAGTATAAGATTTGTTTTATCTTAAAAGTTCAACTTTAACCCAGGAACACAAGTAAACAAAATGGAACATCTGTAAATTGGACACGCTGCAGCCTGAGAACAGTGACACATGTTCAAATTAGGGCTGAACGATTAATCGATTTTAAATCGAAATCGTGATTTCGATTTAAAATCTTTAAAATCTTCGATTTTTTTTTACTTTCTTTTTTCTTTTCTTTTTTCTTCTTGTGTGTCAGTCATCCACACCAATCAGAAGTGCTGTGCTCCACATGTACCAGCCATTGTTAACCAATCAGAAGTGGCCCATGATAGAAGGTGATAGACAGATTGATCCAATCACCTGCCAAGTATTTTTTAAAGTGCCTGCCCTTTTCCAAATGGCTTCCAATGGAGCTTTCCTAGATGGTCTGGTGAAACAAAATCTTAAACTGAAGCTTGACTTTAAAGCAACCCAACGGAAGTTTCATGTAAGTTTAGTTCTTTCACTCGTAGCTCGGGCTGCGGGGGTGCTAGAGACGGGAGCACGTTGATGCGACCTTCCTAGCTGGAGATATGGCCGCATTTTACAATAAACTTCCGTTGGGTCGCTTAAAAACAAATATCGCAAATCGAATCGCAATCGCAATATTTGTCAGAAAAATCGCAATTAGATTTGTTCCCAAAATCGTGCAGCCCTATTTCAAATCAATCAACAACTGACACAGATTCACATGCATGAACATGTAGCCACAAACGGGGCCAAACTGGTCAGGTTGTGACCCCTCTCTGCTCTGATTCTCTGCCTGACCCAGTCTCAAAGCACAAGCAGGAAAACTATCAGTCATGTCAGGACACAGGTGGATAAGCTCATCGTATTATGTCTAGAGAATGCAGTGGAAAAACATGGAAACACTGCCGAGACGTTAAGCTCTTTCACATTTGAAAACATGAGAACATTTTGTGTTGTCACACACTAATCCAAAACATAGCTATAATACCACACACAACTGCATTAATCTCTTGTTGAAAATATCCAACAGAAAATGGGTTTTGCAGTGGGTGGTGACATGGAGGCAGAGACAAATAGAAAGTGTTTTTTTATTAAAGATTGAGGATGTTTGTGTTTGCATAATCTGTGACATTTATGCTTTAATGGAATCATGTTTTAATAAAAGCCTGCTGATATTTGGGGCATTTACAACCCTTTTAAAGATTTGAAACAAATAAATATGAACTTAAAAAAACCAAACATGATATATCAGACAGTTTACGGTATATATTTAAATGATTTGCCCCCAAAAAAAATCACAAACAATTATTTGTACTGTATCAGATTGTATTGGCATTATTTTGCAAATGCCCATTTTCTACTTTGGATGTAGCCAAGAGCAAAAGTCAATAAAATGGGATTTGTGACCCAATTTTCTATCTGACTATGACTGAGCTGCTGTACATTTTGGTAATGCCGGATTAAAAGGGTTCAAAAATAACAGTCCTGTCAGGGTTGTGCTGTGTTTGAATATAAACGGCGTAATTGAAAGCACAGGCTGAAAAACACAGGAAGGTGTTTCAGGGGATGAATTGTAAATGGAAGAGGAATGTACAGTAGTGATGACGTAGGCAGTAGCCTTTTCCTTCAGCCATTTCCTTTAAATAAATTCAATTAAGAGATCCCCATATGTTTTTGTCCTGTACAGAAAGCTTCCTTTACGTCCACTGCCAAACGCAGGCAGGATGTTCTGAGCAGCAGCCATTACTGAGGAATTAGTTCTCAGTGCGCATCTATCAGTGCCAAATCCATAACAGATTTATGACTGCTCCATTGTTTACTTCACATGTCACTACCCAATGTTGACGGGGAATAAGAGTTCAATTTGGGACACGTCGAAATAACAATCACATTTCCACCAATTATGAAAGAGCTGGCTGATGATAATGTGGAGACCATCTGAGGCTTGTGTCTTGACCACCACTTACTGCATGGTGGTTAGGGTTGGGCACTTGTGTATGACTTAGAAAACATACTTTAGAATTAGGCTGAGCATGTACACTCCAGTTATACAACAAGCTGATGTTATGAAGCACAAAGAAGAGGAGAGAATAAAGTAAGTGTTGCTCCTTCCCCTGCATATCAAACCGTGTCTGAGCAGATTTGCCATGCTTTCTTCTAACCCTTAAGGGAATTTGACCTACTTCTCCAGAGCTGGAGTTTGTTATTCATTTTAAATGGATGCCTGTTTAAGTGTAGTCCAAGCAGAAGCCTGAGAGAGAGTAAGCGCTCCACATTCAGCTTGATGTTGTCTCCTGCATTTATTTTCCAGTTCATCACTTCAAAACTTAAAACCGCACACAGTGTACATTCCCTGATGCAGGAGGTTCTTCTTCTCCCCCGTTACCTGAGCAACTCAGGTAGAAAACAAATAGAATATTTAAGTTCTTATCATTTCAACTCATGCCAGGAAAAAGAACATCAAAGATTCTCAACAACTTCACCCACACGCTGCCATGTGGATTTCACATCTGCTCGGCCCAATGACACACTGCCAAGGGAAACGCAGCTCTCTGAAAGTGTTAGGGATAACTTCCCTCTAGGCAAACAGAGCCCGCCTCCTGATGGCAGCTTCAGATGGTAACTGAATACAGGGCCCAGTGTGCGTGTGTGTGTTGGGGGTGTACAGTATGCCGTGCATGCCGAGGTTTTAGACGAGTGTAAACAGCCTGCCAGTGCCAGGCTACACAATGTTCACCATGCAGAGTATTTATGTGTTGTCATTAGCACATCTACTTCACTATGTGATGATGAAGTCTGGTGCTAATATATACTGCAGGCATGCTCTGTGTATACCTCAGGACATGTTAACATCTTAACATGTAAACTAAGGAGACAAGGTTGTTTTAATTACTTATTAGCCTATTTCCACATTATGAATGACAGCAAAAGGTAACTAACAACCTAATCTTAAATTTGTAGAAAACAAGTACAAATACTTAGAATGGAACTCCACAAGTTAAAGTATTAGTTATATATTAAATGTTGGTGTTTTCCACATCTAAGTATGCACCTGAACAAATAAAAGCCAGCAAAAAAACACCTGCAGCGCTACATACCATCTATGTTTGTCATTCTGCCAAGTGTCTATAAATGTCTGGATGTGAACAAAACAACTGACTGAGGACTCACCACCTGAACTAACAAAATCAGTACAAAATGTCAGGCAATCAATCAATTGTTCAGATGTTTCAGTCCAGACTAAAGGAGTGGGTGACTCCCTCAGGGCCATCACAAGTGCCACTCTGATATCACGAGTACTGAATGTCAGATCACAACAACATCTTTTATAAACACAGGTCGTGCGAACCATACATGTTTATGGTTACGTTTCAGGACATGACCTTAAAGATTAAATACATTGTACACGTTCAGACAGTGAGACTGAACCATACCATAAAAGCTGCACTTTCACCTACTTCCGTCCTCAGCCTGTAATTCAGACGCACACTATAGAGTCCACGGCAACAAGCTGACTGAAGGTATATGTCTTACGCAGAAATTAGGCCAACATTTTATTTTATTATCCATTTTATTGCCTGAAGAGGTTTTAAAAGGTTGACCTCATTTAAGCACCTTATCTGCATCTAATAATGCAGTTCAGTGTGACGTGCACTGTTGGTTAAAGAGCAGTGGGCTTTTAGCGGCTGCTCTACCTCATAGCTGTGGACTGCTCTTATCTTATCAGTTATATACTGAGGCATGAGGTCAGACCAGTAGATCCAGTGCCAATCATGATTAAGGAATTATTTTAAGAAAAAGACCGTTTGATACAGTCCGTTATAGACTGTGTTGGCGATGTTATAAGTATAGCTTTGCAAGCTACCAATAAATTACACTGGAAGAAGTTGAACTGTAGGAAATGTTCCCTATGGATAAGACTAGTTAGGCTAACTAAGGCTAATGAGTAAAAGTTGTTTTACTACTTTGTAAGACAAAAGATCAAATTAACTTTTCATACTTGTCAGTGTTGTCTCAACTGACTTGTACAGCTAAAGCATCCCTTCATTTGCAGATTTTAAAGATTTTAAACAGCTTGTCAGAGAATGTTAAGAGCAGAATCACACAGGTTCAGTTAGGAATAATAAAAACAAAAATACATTATTTCCTTTTGCTAGAAACTGCAAAATGACAATCGCTTTAATTACATATACAAGAAGTGTGCTTTGTAAATAAAATGAATTGTTGTTAGACCGTACTTTCCATTGAGAGGATTTGATTGGATTTACTCCCAGTGTAGACATTATTTCAGTTCATTCAATGTGTTACCATTTTAATTAAATTACTTTTACTTGATTTCTTTATTCATATGGAAATGCAGACTTTACACTGAAATGTTCCCCTGAGTAAACCTCATTCACTTGAAGTCTTTGTGGGGGAAAAAAGTTAATTTTCACACTTTTCTTACTTTCAGGAAAAACTGCTTCCTATATGGAGAGACATTCTAGTTAGAACCCATATAGCAGTGCTAGGACAAAGGGACACACATATCACAAAGGCCTGTCTGGTTGCCAGGACACACTTTAACAAGAGTTTCAACCTGGCGCTCACGCTGCTCTTCATTGGTTTTCTTCATCTGTGCTGACATCTACTGGCCTTACTGTGTACTAACAATGATACATGCTGGGAAATACATGCAGTACGTATGTGCGGTACTGTAGGGGAGTTAATTGAATCTGCTGCAATGAAAAAGATCAAACATAATGTCAAATGGACATATTTACATTGAATTTTGAAATAATCATATAATGGCTTCTCAGTGCCGTCTTGTGAGTTGTATTCTGTATTTGTTACAGAAATTCTTTACTTAGGAACGTTTCAAGTTTCACATATGCGTATATAATATTCCAAATACAATAAGAGTAGATCATTGTTCTTTGTAGATTACCTGCATACTACATAAACACCCTGAGACATGGTTACTGAACCTTTCTTAATGATAGTTTGTGTATGATGCGGTTTTTCAAACACAAATGTTTAACTAGTTCAAAACTATTAGATCTGCTCTCTCTCCCATGTTGAAAAATCCTGAATCTAAGTTTATACAAATATTTTTCATTATAAAATGTTAACTGCTGGTCGCAAGATGTCTCCTAATCCACTTCAGTTATATGTGCGCAGGAGAATTCCCACATACAAGTGCGAGTGGAGGTGAAAAACAAGCCTGTTTTCAACAAAATGGTCACAGTTGTTGGTGAACTACATGGTTAAAATAAATGACTAAAGGATTTTCTTTTCTTTGGTATGCATTGTTGATGTCAGACTAACAGATAATATATGACAGAGCAGCAGAAACATTAACAATTAAAAAAGGAGACCAATTAAAAAAACACATGTTCAAAGAAAAAACTGAGCATGATGTCATAGAACACTCATGACTAATACATTACTTTTCTATTTATCTAACTCTGGATCTCCACATCCATCTCCCTCCCTCTTTTATTATCTGTCACCACCCCCCCCCCCCCCCTCCCCTCTCTATGTGCTGCCTACCATTAGCGTATGCAGCAATGCCCCGACTGGACAGCAGGTGTGCCCTTTAGCACTGCAGCACACATCCCACTGCAGTGCTACCATGTGTGTGTGTATAAGTGTGTGTGCATCAGGCGTGCCAGCCAGCCTGTCCACTGCTGCTCCTGTCACTCTGCTGGAGGAGAGGAGGGGGAGAGGGAGAGGCCGCTGGAGGAGCAGAGGGAGAACGAGAGGGGGATAGAGAGATAGAGGGTGAGAGAGAGAGAGAGAGTCCAGGCCCAAATAAAGCCATGGGGGCCGGGGCTGGGCTGGACCCCCCACTGCTATAAATACGCTGGCCGTCTGGAGGTTCGGGTTCGGGTTTGGTGGTTGGGGCTTGGGACCAGTCACCACCTCTGCTGCAGCAGTCTTCCTCAGGAGCGTCTCCTCTTTGTACTCCTCCTCATCCTCCTCCACCTCACTCTGGTCATCGTTGCTCTGGGCTGCCAAGATGCCTCGCGTGGACTCAGACATCAAGCTGGACTTTAAAGATGTCCTCTTCAGACCCAAGAGGAGCAGCCTGAAGAGTCGCTCAGAGGTCGGTGAGCTGATCATATCATCCAAAAAGCTATGATCAACTTCATTGATAGGACTGGGGTATTTCTCAGGGGCAGTGTAATCCTTTAGTGCTGCATTCAGGAAGTACGCTTCTATGCTGGGTGACGCAATTGCAATATGTTAACTATGTATACATGGGGGAGGATGGTGGTGGTGGGGGGGGAGGGGGGGGATGGGGGGGCAGCGTTTAGGGCCTTCTTACCCTGTTTGCTGCACTCGTGTTAACATTATTGAAGATGAAAATGGACTGACAGCGCAGAGGAAATGACATGAATGGATCTTAAGAGGATGTGTCACTGTAATTGTATACGCGTGTGTGCCGCTTTGTTGTCTTGTCTTGTGTAAGCCTGTAGATGGACACTGCCATTGTACCTTGTGAGCAAACAAGCACTGAATTAGCATGTAAGAGCGGAGTGACCTTCTTAAAGGTGACACAGAACAAGGCTAGCCTGTGCGGACAGATGCTATAAACAATAAACTGTCTACAACAAAACAAAGAAAGTGAGTCGGTGATGAAAAACGTGTTTTTCTCAGAATGGATTTGTCATTTGAAGCCAGTATATCAGGCCACTGTGTATCTAGCATGTATTGATTTGGCTCAATGCTTTCCGTGTTGTTTTATAATAGCAACTTCTCCAGAATAATGATGTGTCACTATATCAGTGACCTAAGTTCATGTGTGCTGGCACTAGATCTTGAATTGAAGGGGTGGGAGTTGGCAATCTGAGGTCTGGTACTGTAAGCAACATGAGACACAGGACACTTCTCAGAAAACTGTTTAAAAATAGTACAGTGTTGCAGTCAACCAGTGCATATGCCACAGAGGTATCTGGATAACATTATATATATAGATAAACACACTGATGCAGATAACAGCACAGAAAATACACAACACTTGGAGCAAGACTGAGTGCAGCAGAAGCACATTTTGTCATATAAATTGAATATCTCACCAAATTATTGAAATTTCACTAAATCTTCTTTTCCTACAGTCACTAAATAATAAAGAAAATATCTAAAATAACATGATTTCAGATACATATGATGACTTCATTGCAGCATACTGAAACCACAGCCAAGTGTAATGACCCGTTCACTCCAAAAGCATCTATCTAACGGCTCTTGTTTGAATTATAGCTGCATTAAGTCCACCTGAGGGTATACAGTGTGGAGAACAGGGAAGATAAACAGCATCAATAAGTTAACACGAGACCACATAGTAAAATGGTCGGTAATGACGCAGGGATGCACCACCACCGGCCAGAAATGTGTCCCTTTCAATCTGGAATTTTAATTCAACTGTGAATTGTCACTGCATCATTGGAGTTAAAAGAAACACAGATATATTTAATTCGTTTTTGATCATTAATCATTATGTGGGTGTTGTGGTTTAATTAAAAATTGCAAAGATTACAAGTTCATATGCATCTACAATCTCAATCAGAGATCATTCAATCAATATTAAGAATAACTGAGTCTATTGGATCTATTGTCATGATCTACTGGCGACTAGGCAGGAAAACCCTGCTGAGTCATTGTAGTTATTAAAAGGAAGTATTGATTTCTATGACTCCTCCTTTCTCATCAATATTCCTTTCACCACTTTGCTCTTCCTCCCACCATTATGAGTTATAGCCTAATTTTAGCTGTGGCTCTGAAAAGGATTCCACCGTGAAGGTTATGGCAGAGTACAAACTGTTCGCCTATTCCCACAGCTGAAGTAGTTGTGCATGATAAATGTCTTGGCACTACTCTACTAAAGCTAACAGCACTGTGAAACGGTTGGATTTAAGCAAATGGAGTCAGTTTGAATCACTTTCCATTATAGTTAATGACAATCTATCCGACCTTCTGCAACCTGTAGTGATTATGTGTTATAATGACTCAAATATTGAGATCAAAGCATGTACAAAAGCCAAGTAGTGGGCACTGTAGCTACAAGCTACATGTACATGATTGCTAACTCATAGTGTAACAGTATAGCACAAGAAGCAAAAAAGAGTCACAAAGTCAATCCACAGATTCAGTTATTCCCATTAGCAAAATGTATCCCCCATTTGGTAACATTAGCTAGCTTTTAGTCCTAGGCCAATTCACAGCCAAACACGCAATGGTGCATATTACTGCTTCTGAATTCAACGTTTCATTTGTAAGAAGGAAAAAGATGTGTAACTTCTTCTTTGTGACTTCGAAAAAAAACAACCTTTGTAAGTGGAAACTCCACCTTCGTGCATTGGTCAACTCATTTGAATAAGATCTATTTATAGCAGATGTTTTTTGAACAGAATCAACGGTAACACTTGCATCATCACGACAGATATACGTTCCTGTAAAAGGAGCAGTTAGTGTGGTACAGAGGGTCATGTTTGTTTCATGTAGCTTATCACATTACATAGCTAAGCTAACCATTGGATCTAAATGATTCAAAACCCCCCCGTTAAGACTCGGAACATGAGCCACTTTAGCTGCTCCAGAAAATCTGCAATGATCCTCAGTCTCCTCCAGAGAAAAAATATATAATTAAACTGTTAAATAAGCACTTTGGAGATTATTGTTCATAACCAAAGTCTCCACAATGACTCTTTTCTCCCCCCCAGGTGGACCTTCAGAGGACCTTCACATTCCGCAACTCTAAGCAGACGTACACCGGCATCCCCATCATCGCTGCCAACATGGACACCACAGGGACGTTTGAGATGGCACAGGTCCTCAGCAAAGTGAGTTAACACTTTGTATTTCACGTACAATCAGGATACATAAAACAGGATGTTGCAGGGAATCATGGGAAGAAGACATGAATTAGAAGCGGTGTCCTAGTAGCAGTTAGACATCTACTTGTGATGATTCTTTTGTAACACCTCAAAATAAATACTGTATAATAACGACCAAAAATGTGAACTGATTTCTGTCCTCAGCCTAACAACATATTGTAACGGCCAAAATGATTCAATATATTGCGTTTAAAACCAAACTTCAAGGAAACCATAGTGACATCACAAATAAATAAAATGTAATTCTCTGATGTTGTTTCACTATCTTCCTTTCTCTCTTTACTGTAGCACACCCTCTTCACAGCCATTCATAAACACTACTCTGTGGAGGACTGGAAAAACTTTGCTGCTAAGAATCCAGATTGTATGGAGGTAATATCACCAATGTTTGTTTCTCATAAGCATCAGGATCAAAATGACACACTTTTTCATTCACAAGGGTCTAAAAAACCCTAACCCCAATTTTCTATTTCTCTCCCCAGCACGTAGCCGCCAGTTCAGGCAGTGGCGTTGCAGACCTGGAGAGGCTGTGTGCCATCTTGGAAGCTGTCCCCGTCATAAAGTACATCTGTCTGGATGTGGCCAACGGCTACTCCGAGTACTTTGTGGAGTTTGTCAAGACGGTCAGAGAAAAGTTCCCTAAGCATACCATCATGGTAAGAGAGCCCTAACACCCTCTGGCTGACAGTTATTGGACATACTGTGAGATTGAGTCTTAGGGCTGATGCTGTCTCTCTTCACAGGCTGGTAACGTGGTAACAGGGGAGATGGTGGAGGAGCTCATCCTCTCCGGCGCTGACATCATCAAAGTGGGCATCGGGCCAGGTGGGTGTGCACGGCTGTCTGAGTGTGTGTGCAAATATTCTGAGGAGTGTGCAGACTCTAAATAAACCAACAAGTATACAGGCCTCACACACACACACAGACACTACTGAGAAGGAGGGGCAAAAACGAACAAGATTGGCCTTAAATATAAAGGTTGAATTGTCTTATTTATTGATTCTTTTTTGTACAGTGCTTGATTTGATTTGGAACTGATAGGTTGTTCTAAATAGAGTAAATGGTTTCATTGTCAGTAGAAAAGCCTTTGTTAATGCATCACAACTGGTTTTAGCAACCCATTATAAAATCACATTTTAATGAGAAGAATACCGTTATTTTTGACAAATCTCCTGGCATTTACAGTAGATGCTCATATTAGATGGCTGGATTATATGAGGCACAGAATCTCTAAGATCAGCTGCTGTTTTCCCTTGTATCTGTAAGTCTAGTTTTTTTATGCTGCTGCAACGAAAAATGCCCCAATTTGGGATCAATAAAGTGCATCTTATCGTATTATCTTATCCAGCCTGTAGAAAATCCCCCTGAACTGACAGCGCCAGAGCTTTAAGTCAGCAGGTTCCTGTAGCAGGATCTATTAAACACAGACGGGACAGTTACAGCTACATGGGTTCCTCTAATGTGTGCACTGTGTGTTGCAGGGTCCGTGTGCACGACCAGGATCAAGACAGGAGTGGGCTACCCCCAGCTCAGTGCTGTCATCGAGTGTGCCGACTCAGCCCATGGACTCAAAGGACACATTATCTCTGTAAGTCCCACAACACATCACACACAAATAAAAGGGGACGGCCAGATTTACTGACGTGTACAGTATAGTTATTAAAACTATGAATGGTAAACCACACTGGGATTTTGTGGGCATCAGTCCAACAAAAATGCGAAATGCAATCCTTCAACAGGTTATGCCTTTTATTGATGACAAAAACATGGGTAAAATGTAGAAGATATAATAATGAAAATCACAAACAAAAAAGGAAAATTGTTTGCATTCAGTTATCTTAAAAAGAGAACTTCTTTCATGTACAGTAAGGCAATTGAATTGTCTTTACAGCCTATTAAGTATTAGAGAATAAATAGTGTCCTCACATTTTTAAAAGGACCCTTACATTATCCATAGTGTAGATCAATAGGAAAGCCTGAGTCATAATTGTCAATATTAGTGACTCAAAGAAGTTACTTTACTGAAGCACAATGACTATATTGATTGTCCATAATAAACTGTTGCATAAATGCTGTCATGGTTAAAATGTTGATGACATCCACTAGAGGGCATCCATAGAAAAATAATAAAATGTAAGACCTGTGATTCAGTGTTAAACCAATGACTGTGTATTTTCTCCATTCAGGACGGCGGCTGCAGTTGCCCAGGAGATGTGGCTAAGGCCTTTGGTAAGTATTCAACCTAAACACCTTCTTTTGAAAGGACTGGGCTGTACAGGTCTGCAAATCTAACATCTTGTTTTCTCTGCCTTTGCTTCCCAGGTGCAGGGGCTGACTTTGTGATGATGGGAGGGATGCTGGCAGGCCATGACCAGTGCACCGGAGAGGTCATCGAGAAGAACGGCAAGAAAGTCAAACTCTTCTACGGCATGAGCTCTGACACTGCCATGAAGAAATATGTGGGTGGAGTTGCTGAGTATAGGTAAGAGTCTGATATCAGAAGTTCATGAAGGATTCCTATTCTCCTTTAAATAACTTGTCATATGTGTTCAGCTTATTAACTCAGCTGTGTGTTTGAACTACAATCCCCCTCTCTCTGCTCCACTCAGGGCGTCCGAGGGCAGGACAGTGGAGGTTCCCTACAGAGGAGATGTGAACAACACCATCCTCGACGTGCTGGGGGGTCTCCGCTCCACCTGCACCTACGTGGGCGCCGCCAAGCTGAAAGAGCTGAGCAGGAGAACCACCTTCATTCGTGTCACACAACAGTCCAGCCAAATGTTCATCTCATAGGGCGTACTCATGTCCACACACACAGGCTGCATAGTATGCACTGTGTGGGTATTATGCAGAGTTTAACTCACACCGACACTTCCACATGATCACACCAACTTGTTTCTCTCAGGATATCTGCCTTCAGAAAATGTGTTTCCTGCAGGTTGTGATTCAAATAAACCTAAAGCTTGACAATAATTCTCCAAGATGAATAAAAGCTCTATAATCAACTCAACCCTACATCGAGTGCGTTTACATGCTTAGAGAGCCATGGCTATTGAATGTACACTATTTAGTTTTCACATGAGCATTTCAGATCTGATATTTTAAAATACTCTTCTAACTTTAGTATATGCGGAATAAACAAGAATGTTAGCTATATGAAACACGTTGCATGTAAACACACTCGGCAGGAGGAAGCTGGCCCTCATGCTAAAATCATTTGGGGAAATTGTTCTGCTGTACTGTTTGATACAATGAATGTGCAAATGAATATGCAAGACCCAGAGATGTCACCCTTTAACTATCACTGGAGAAATCATGCCGCAATAAACTGCATGCAGGACCCTCTGCTATTTTCCTCAGTGGTGTTGATACATTTGAAAGATATTCCTGAGGATTGACAACATAATAGTGTAGCTCTCCTCAGTGTCTGTGTGCATGTATTTTGGGAGTGTCAGGAATACTGAGCCAAATCTTGACATCTGGATTTATGTGTCCCAATCGTTTGACATGTTTGATTTACCCTGCTGTGTGTATAAAACTGTCTCGTCTAAGTCCTCTTCTTTGATTCCACTATGCCTGACATTTAAAATCAAGGGCATCTTGTGGCTTCTACCTCATTGAAGCTCTTTATTTCATGTAAAGAGGTTTTAACACTAATAAATGAAACATTTAAAATACATACTGGAAAACACAGGTCCATTGTTTTTGCAATGAAGAACAAAATGGTGCAAATAAACCTGATTCATCAGAGAATGATCAGTGTGCTTCTTCCTGCATATACACTGTATAGTTTGGTTGATGTTTTCTAATTGAACATCAGGGTTTTGGGACAATACAAGGAACAGCTTATATCTAATTCAACAGCCATATTAAGGCAGTTACTTTTGAAAAAGAAAATGCAGCCAGCACAGAGAGCTAGAAATTCCTTTCAGTTAAGTGATGTGTACTTTGATAAAACATAACAAAGGGACATTGAAAATGGATCAGACATTAATTATAGCACAGCACTAGGTTCAAATCAGCAACTTTCTTTATCTTTATGGGACAGTTGTGCTGACATAGAAAGAGCACTAGAACATTTTACTCAAGTAAAACTAATACTAAAGTGAATATATTTGAACATAAAGCTTAAATACTAATGCAACAACATTAACTATAACTTCCATTATTATAGACACTTGCAGCCTGTGCATATAACTGATCAACTACAGTATAACCAACATCCCCCCTGCTGTCTTTGACACAGATAATCAAACGAAAATGACCTCTATGAACACCAAGGCAGCAACAAGTACTTTTAAGCTATAGTATCAACAGCAGAAAACTGTAAATACATTATAAACTCCACAAAGGTTGCAGACATAAACACACAAAAGCAAGGACTAGTTGAAACTGGTCATGTAGCACACACACAAAATGCTACATGCTACGTTACTAGGCAACGCAGTTGATGCTGAGTTCAGTGAGTTTGTTGTCTTCATAGAAATAAAATGTTTTTATATCTTTGGTTGTTGTACTCACCTGCCTGAACGGTTTTCTGAGTATGATGCACCGTGTGCTCCTCCACCATCTGCTCAAGGTTTTTATCCAAGCCTCTCAGACTCAAATTTCTCAAAGAGTTTAGAGTGTGTCAGCATGTTGTCCTCACCCAGCATGCACCTGTTGTGTGGGTATGTTTGATTAAGGCAATTTAGCATGCCGGCCGGCGGTGGCTTAATCAGTTATTAAGGTAGATGAAACCTTCTATATTCATTTTAACAATGCCGAGTTACAATATAGTAGTAACCCAACACCATTTGACTTTATTTTATTAGTTAACTCTAAATATAATAGTAATTTAGGAATGTTAAATTGCTGTTACTTTTAAATATATTGAAATGCAACCATACTTGCTAGGTTGTAGCCCACAGGGCCATGCATTTGCTTAGCCTCTCCATTTGCAGATAGTGAAGCAAAAACCCCTAACACAATCGAAACAGGAAACATTATTTAAAGTACAACATAGAACTAATGTGAGCTTGGTGACATATAATGTCTTAATCACTGCAGATAGTAGGAATGTCATGTAGCCCATACAACACTAGAGGGGGACATTTTCTGCTCAATTTAAAGGGGACCTATCATGCAAAATGCACTTTTGTACGTCTTTTATACATGAATATGTGTCCCCGGTGTTCCAGGGAACTCACCAAGTGTCAGAAAACACAACCCTCTCTATTTTCCTCCATACCCAAATCTCTAAAAAAGGGGCTGCAACGGATCTGATAAAAACTGATCCAGATTTGAACACTTTCCTGACGTCAGGACAGTGGCGCTACGGCTATTGGGCCAACTCCACCAATCAGGAGGAGACAACCACGGCATTGCCGTTCGAAAGAGCTGGAGACGTTGTAGTACATATGCCAGGCCTCTAGATGGTGCTGTTGCTCACAGAATCAACCCTTGCTAAAACAGATCTAAAAAATGTCAAATTGAGCAAAATGAGGCATGGCTAAAATGCATGATCTGTTTGGTATTTTGAAAAAAAAAAGTATAAATATGCCTTATATAATGTAGGTATGGTCCTACACTATATTATTCAAATATAGCATGATAGGTCCACTTTAAGCCACTAAATCACACTAGTGTTGATAGCATTGTTTGTGTTAGTATTAAAATAAAGACACAGGACGCCCATTTATTCCAGATATGTCAAGGTTTCTTTTTCTTTTTCAAAGAGGTGCATTTGTACAGATGTCAAATACATACACCAACAGGGTTTCTCCATTGCTATAGAGGAAAAGGGTGGTGAGACACAGGGACTTAGTGAGTACAATATAGTACAAACAAGTTGGCTGGGACTGCTGCGCCCCCACCTCCCCTGCAGGCCAGACTGTCCGAGCAGGTCTGTGCTGATGTCCGCTTCTCTGCTACCGTCTTATAGGCCAACAAGTTTCAGTTCAGTTCTTGGTGTCTCCGGTTAGCAGAGAAACATCTAGACAGACAGTTTGCTAGCCTCAGGGCTGAGTGTTCAGAACAGGGGGGGGGGGGGGGGGGGGGGGGGGGGTCAACGGAGCCACAGCTGACAGATAAGCTCCACCCCCCTCCGTGGCAGTGGGCAGGGTCAGAGGTCACCAGCCGTACAGCCTGTCCCCTGCTGAAGTGTTTGTTGTACGGAGAGGCCGAACAAAGACGCTCAGTACACTGAAGAGTAATCCAAGCCATCTCCAGCATAATACACATATCATAATAATAATTCATAGTTAATTGTCATTAACAACATTTGTTAATCATATCAAATGATATGTAATACATTTACATATCTTATAACCCATATGAAACAGCCCACTATGTAAATTGATTGGGGTGAAACTAAACTTTTAAGTGGGCCTCTACAAGTTTTTTTTTTTCTTTCTGCCTGAGTTGGTTATCCAGCGCTATGGACATTGATGAGACGTCATACAAAAAAAAAAAAGAGGAAAAAAAGGAATCCTGATCGAATTCTGTTCACTTTTAAAACACAACAAAGTGCCAAAAACACATCCTTTTTGCAAAATGAAAGTACAAACATCAAGAAACAAGAGCACACATGCCTTTTTTCTGATCGAAAAGTCAAAGCTCACACACCAACATTCATTTTATTTGTAAAATTGTGCAAGAAGCCAATTAAAAAAAAAAAAAAAAGACATTAGCAGTGTTCCTCCAGTGAGGAAGCTTGTCATAAAAACTCAACAATGACACATTCTCTACATAGTTTTAAGTCCCCTGACATTATATCTAGTGCTACAAGGAGACTAAAACACAGAAAAAGCTCCTGCACCAAAGATAATGATAAAAACAATGCTGAGGTTTGTACGCACCGTTTTCACACCGCACGACCAACCAAAGCTGTGCCAAACTCAAACACGGAGGCCAAATTTGATCTAAAAAATGTGAACTAAACCAAATTAAACATCACAGCTCGGGTTGGTGTAGGGTGGAAAAGATTTCAAACAAACCCGAACACAACAAAAGAAGGGATGCATTCCATGATAAAAGGTTTTCCTAGTAGAAAAGAACCAAGGAACCACCTAACACCTCGGCCCGTTGGACCCAAGAACGCGCCGGGCGCCAAGCGAGATGGAGCACAGACAGACAAACACAAGGTTACGGAGAGGTGATGTGCAAAAACTTAAACTGAACCATCTCTCTTTTTCATCCTTATTCACCCCTTTTTTATCTTTCTCATTCTCTCTGTCTGTTTTGAATGAATGTTACCCCTAGGCAAGGTTTCGGTCTGAGACAGAGGGGTTAGACCAAGCCCATCCTAGGATTAGAAAGTGCTGAAACATTATCAAGTCTTTAACATCTACTTACATGTGCATCTCTGTTGGTTGGTTGTTTTTTTTTCCTTTTTCTTTTTTTTGTTTTTTTGTACAAAAAGTGGTCCCCACTAAGCAATGAGGTTTCTTTTTTTTCTGCGGGATTCACCGTGAACCGCCGAGGGTCAGGGTTTATGATCTCACAGACAGTTACAGGAGAAAACACTCCGTCACACACACACACACACACACACACACACACACACACACACACACACACACACACACACACACACACACACACACACACACACACACACACACACACACACACACACACACACACACACACACACACACACACACACACACACACACACACACACACACACACACACACACCACACACACACACACACACACACACACACACACACACACACACACACACACACACACACACACACACACACACACACACACACACACGAACATCAGGTGAACATAAGCACACATACTACACACATGGTGTGGACACACACGCATGCACAAAGGAGGTACGACACAGTCTCTCACACACTCAAATTTAGAAAGGCCGCAAGGACAAAAGGGAAAGGGAGGTACGGACAAACTCTCCGTTGGGTTTGTTTCGCTTCACAAACATCCTGACTCTTGTTTTACAGATGTGACGCACACATCGACAGACAGTAAAATACACAAGCCATTAACAAGGATGATACACTGGAGTAGGACTATGCTACATACACTTGGCACAGCAAAGAAGGGAGGGAGGGATAAATGTAAGTATTGCACATCGTGGGACATTTCAAGGGGATAGAAACTTGGGATTATCTTAATAAAAGAAAAATACTACTCGAAAAATTAGGAAACCTTGCTGTGATGTGCCGTTCACTGTCCTGCATTCAGAATGTGTCTACATTCCAGATTGCTTTGTTTCATAGTTAATTCCATTGAAGTATAAACACAATGACCTTTTTTTTTAAGCAAGAGGTGAAAAGGAGACCGAATATCAAAAGATGATGTTAGGAGGGGGACAGGCAGCCCAGGCCACACTGAAAGGTAGCTAACGGTTGTTGAGGGTTAATATTCCATTGCTTGGCCTCAGGAGGAGGTGTGAGGCTGGCTGGCTATGATTGGGTACCTGAAACAATGTTAACGAGGTCACTACGGGTGTCGTGGCAACGAGGTTTCCGCTGGTTACTTCAGGTGCATGTGACTTTTGCTCTCCTGCAGCTCGAGTTTATGACTCTGACCAGCTGGGACGTGTGAGGTTTTGGGGGTCAGTTACTGCATATATGAGACACTTCCCTGAAAAACTAGCAACTGGTGTTGCAACTGCAATTCCTTAAGGTTAAAATGTACTCTATGATAAGGGGAATAGTGCTAACTGAAGAACACTTTGATCAGGTTCAGGCTTCTAAAAGCATTCGATAATATATGGCAAGATTGTATTCTCTATAAGGAGGAAAGGAGGAGTTTTGGTTCGATGTTAGATGGTTTTTATTACATGTTTATTGCCGAGAATTTGAGCGGAATGACTCTGTTTGTGTTTGTGCAAGTGTGTGTGTGTGTGTGTGTGTGTGTGTGTGTGTGTTCAACTCATACACAAGGAGATTGCCTGAATATTAGTCATACTATTGCTTTCTAAAGTAACCAAACTTCAGCATCAATTGGCTTTGGCTAAAAATAAAAATGCTCTAAGCAGAGGTTTGATAACATGTTGTGGTTCTGCTTTTTACAATTGTTGGGAAGGGGTTGTGTGTATGACATTTACAAAACACAGCCACACACAGATTGCAAAACAGACACACACACATATTTCTATTTGCACTCGTAATGATCATTATGATTCAATTGGAAAAGGAAGAAATGAAAATGTACTGTGGTGGGGTTGATCTGTGAAACCCTGTTTTATTATAAAAAAATAAAGCATTTTCAAATCCCATAAGGGGTCTACTCATTCACTCCCCATCAACATCTAAAACATTCTTCATCCATCTGAGCACACATCCATCCCACCATCACCCCGGTAAACTCCCACCACCTGAAGCGTTGCCCAACACACTAACACCTACATTATCAGTGGGATTCAAATTTGACTGATCTGCTTCTTAGAGGCAACCAACGACTTTCTCTATACCAATACCTGAATGCAGAGGCTGAGGAGAACGCTCAACAGATATGCCTGCAAGAATCCACATCTTTAAATCCCAGACTCCACTGATGAATTTAAAAATAATTGCCAATTTAGTTTAATAAAACAGTTACATTCTGGGACAACCAAGCAGGCGTATCTGTTGAGGTCATTTCTGCATCTTTTGCTGCAAATAGGGTTTCAGCTGACTGAAAGCACAGGCTGTGTTCAAAACTGAACCCTAGTCCCTGCACCCTGGTTTCAACAGCAGAAAAGTGGACAAAAAATCTAAATGTTCCTTTGGATAAATGGCATATCTTAAGTCAGTAAATTCAGTAGGCAGGCACGTGTTAAGATTCTGTTTTACAGCTACGGTTATGTTCCTAAAAACTCAAATCTAATTTGACCTTAACTGCGTTTATTTTCCTCTATAATGTGACAAGTGCCTGTTGAGGAACAAAGACCCTGGTCTCCTCCAGTGTGTCACGTGGTCTAGGGCTCGTTTCAGGGCCGGGCGGTTCAACATCACGTCTCCACCGTTCTCCCTCCTCCTGATGTGCAAATTGCAAGATTCTATTAAGTACGACTCCAAGTAGAAACACTGGACATTTAACATTGTCTATATATCAAGTGAGTATAACCTTTATGCTATACACAGTATACATACTCATACACAAACTGACACAGGTACACAAACACACCACTCTACTGTACTGTGCATTAATCCATTCAACTAGTGTCTTTGCAGTAGGGACCACAAAGCGTCCGCATTCGTCTCGATACAGTACATATTACAGGTCATTCATGGATGGTGTGTACTGTTTTGAGTTTGTGTAAGTGTTTGTACGGACATACACAGACCCAACCTCATGCGCACACACATTACAAATATATGACACCCTCAAAATTCTGTGGCGTGAGCTTCTAATCGATGCTCTCAGTCGAGTACAGAACATCAGTGGGATATTTCAAAAGCCTGTTCTTTGTTAATCCTCATGCCAGATCCTGAACTTTCAAAAACACATTCCAATACTTTCCCCTAACCTTTATATGGCTGGCTGGCTGTACAAGTGCACATGCTGAGAACCATCATACTTCTAAATTCCTTTTGTCAACGTTATTTTTTCTCTAACTGTCTACTAACTGGAAACATTCTCCAATACCTGATACAATCATCTCCTCTTAGTGATCCCATGGCACATCCGCTCCCACCTTCACTTCTCCAAAAGCTTAAACTTTCCAAAGTGCTGTTGCTACTTTCTACCCTTGTCTTAATACAAAAAAAAAAGATCTAAAAACATACAGTACTGCGTTAATAAAGAGACAACACCAATGTGTCGGCTGTATGGTGAGTGTGACAGGTGTGTTAAGTGCTTTGAAACATCCTGACTCTCTCAGAGCTGATTCTCTCTGTCCTCTCACACAGCCTCTTCTCCATAAAAAAGTATAAAGTAATTCATCAAAAACCATGAGGATTGTCTTCCTCTCAACATTTTCTTGAAGTGACCCAGTGTGTTCGCACTTCTATGCTTTAGGTTAGGGTATCTCACATTGATACATTAACATTGACCCACCTAGGTTCAAAATCTAGGACTTAATGACCCCTGGTTACGTTCTTTTGACAATCATTGGATCATGTGAGTTAGAATATGAGGAGATTATGAGAAACAAGAAGACAACGCTCAAGATGAAAGACTCCACCGTCATCGCACTGAACAGAGTGAGTGTTGTTCCCTCTCTTTTGTGTGGCACACTGGCAACACCTGATGACTTCACTGCTTAGGTCCGGCCCACAGGGAGAACGATTGTTTTCCAACTACCACTCTGATTTGGAAAAAAATATAGTTATGGTTTTAACAAATCCTTTAAACTCAGGATCTTTTTTTCAGGATCACATTTAGGCATTTTTGTCCAGGCACAGGAAGTGAAATCACTATCAAGAGTCTAAACTGTGAGCTAATTAAATTTGAAATGTCCATAATGTGTAGCCAGCCAAAAAGAGCTATCAAGCATTGCGTCATGTGCCACACAGCAACCAATAAACATCTAGCACACCTCACAAATCCCTCACCCGAGTCATCTCATGAAAACCATCAGAAACGGCAGCGATTGCTCAAGTGATATCAAATCCAACTATTACAAAATGTGTTATTGACTACATGGACTTAAGGTGATACCATGTAGGGTACATTTACCTCTACAGCACAGTATTCAAGATAGAAAAATAAAATCGGAAAACAAAACTTTAAAATCAAGACAAATGAAACATTAATGTGGGCATTCATTTTTTCTTGTAGAGTCCATTTATGTTTTCCTAATCCCAATGGATGAATATACAGTCCTGCGCTTCACTTGCCAATATTTGACCTTCCCTCGAAGCTGACCTTCACCTCGTAGGGGATGAAGGAAGGTTTGGGCAGGGTCAAAGGTGGCTCCTCCTCTGATTTTTCTACTTTCCGACCTTCAGGAGCAGACCATCTTCTCTTCCTGCTTCCTGATGGCTTGCTGGTGCCAGCTTGTGCGCTGCTGGAAACCTGACCTTTAGAAAGTGCCCCTCTTTCCCCAAGCATGAGATCCCCGTTTCCCACGTCGGTGCCTCCATTCCCACTGGCAGCGCTCCCTCGCTGGCTGATGCCGTTCTCCCGCTCTGAGACAGCTCTGGGGGGTTTGAGGTAACCAGAGGAAGGGGTAACCAGTTCCAGGGGCTGGGTCTTCTTCAGGGATCCGTTCCTCAGGTTCTTCAGGGTGAGGGAAATACAAACGTCGCCCACAGAGAGCTTGGTGCAAGGCAGCTCCAGAAGCTGCGTGGTCCGGTCTGGGCAGCATGAAGACCAGCCTTGGCCGAACACGAAGAAGGGGTACTCCACCAGGACCTCCACGCTCACCTGGAGGATAGGGAAGGGGGGGACACACACATAAACACTTCAATACAAAAAGTAGCTTGTCTTTAAAGCCCCTAAACACTTCAAATCTAACAGTTATACATACGAAATGATTACATTTGTATTTAGGAAACACTCAAAAACATTCACTAGGATTGTGTGGATGTGGTTTTATAAGATTTGCTTTGCAGTAATAATGAACCATCTATCCTTATTTTGCCTCTTTTTTTTACAACCAAGGACAGAGACAGGGCTACAAGGACTTTGTTTGTGTCTAAATTTAGCTGAATGAAAGAACTACTGGGACATGTTGTTCTTAAAATCAGAAAGAATATTATGTTATAACTGATTGGTTTGTTAGAGGCACAGCTGGATACTGTTGGCATAGAAGCAGAACATAAGTAAAAACATTGAACAAAATGACCAACATACTTCAAGAGAAAATGCCTAATCCAAAGATGAAGTATTACACAACATTGATGAAGACGATGCAACATATTTATGTTTAAAGGGGACCTATCATGCAAAATGCACTTTTGTACGTCTTTTATACATGAATATGTGTCCCAGGGAACTCACCAAGTGTCAGAAAACACAACCCTCTCTATTTTTTTAAAAAGAGGCTGCAACGGATCTGATAAAAACTGATCCAGATTTGAACACTGTCCTGACGTCAGGACGGTGGCGCTACGGCTATTGGGCCAACTCCACCAATCAGGAGGAGACAGCCACGGCCATTGCCGTTCGAAAGCGCTGGAGACGCTGTAGTACATATGCCAGGCCTGTAGATGGTGCTGTTCTCACTGAATCTGCCCTTGCAAAAACAGAGCTAAAAAAGGTCAAATTGAGCAAAATGAGGCATGGCTAAAATGCATGATCTGTTTGGTATTTTGAAAAAAAAAAAAGTATAAATATGCCTTATATAGGTATGGTCCTACACTATATTATTCAAATATAGCATGATAGGTCCACTTTAAGGGATTACAGTTCTGAATTGAATTATGAACATATAGGGCTGACTTAGATTTGAGAAGGTGGGAGTGGAAGAAGTTACTGAGATGGAGATGAAAAGGCGAGTTTACAGAGGAAGGGCGGGTAGAACAAGTAGAGGAGTGAGGAAGTGAGCGTGAAAGAGAACAATGTCAAGAACGGTACAAGTGCAAGATGTATCAAACAGCCTCTCAAAGGAAATGTCAGGCATTATTTCCCCAACCCTATTACATCGTTTTTGATTTCTCAGAGTTAGTCCTCTGAGTGTGGACTCAAAGCTGCTACCACCTCTCAGGGAAAGAAAAGAAAAAGTAAGGAGCCACTGATGGAGTACAAGAGAGAAGGATAAGTCTTTGAAAGATTGTCCGCTTTTGTGGGGTACAGTATCAAAGAGCAGCCGGGGGCGGGAGAGAGAGTTCGAGATGTGCTGTGGTGGTGGACCAGTCACAGCGTGGACACATGAAATGGATTAACTGGCTTTAACACTCAAAGACAGTGAGAATGTGGGTGTTTCTCAATCGCGAGTACGCTTGCTTGGTAGCACATGTCTGCCGAGCGTCTTGCTTCAGAAGCGAGTCAAGAATACTTCCTGACATTTGGAAAACGAACAGTGGAACACGCTAGCAAGTGTGCAGGTGTGCGTCATATGAGAGGCCCCGCCTTACATTTTCCACCACAGATTTTGGAAATTGGTCCGTGCGCAAAGCATTGTGGGGATTTTAAGACCGCGGAGTCTACTCATGTGCAGCCTCGATATTTCTCCAAACGGAGTACGCCGGGCTCGGTAGATTTCCAAGTATGCTGGAGATTGGAACAGTACTTCGGCGGCACTCGATGACGTAGTATGCTTGAAATAGTGGCTCTGCAGCAGCTTTACTCGCGATTGAGAAACACCCTGTGTGTGTTTGAAGGAGTTGGAGGGAGACAGTCAAAATGATCAAATCAATGCTCAGTATTAGATGTTAGGAGATTACTGAAACATCGTAGTTCTAAAAAACTTTTTACACGTAGCAGCAGAAATGTGATGTCAGTACATTCATGTTCCGTGCTTCACTGAATACTTAATGAGTAGATATCCAACACTCTGCTCTTTGAACTTTTCTACAGCTCATAATAAGAACATGGTTGTTACATCACTGCCATCATAGTACATTGAAGTTAATTCAATCTGAAAGGAGTTCTGTGAGGTTCACCTATGATAGAGTCATTAATAAGGGAGCAGCTCAACACTTGTCATTCAACATTAATAACACACACTCGGAGCATGCATTAAAGCCTTCTAAGAAATCTTGCCGATGTAGTGTGTCACACTCACACCTATAGAGACACCTATAGGACTAAACACAGCAGTAACGGGCTGGATATAGGAGTGGCTGTTTCACTGAGCCGTAATGCACAAAGCATAATGAGGCCATTACGCGTTATCAAGTCAAATCACATAAAGGCCTTAAAGTTTCACTTCCTTGCAGGGAATGAAAAAAGAAGATCGATTTCAATCTTATGTCTCTGCATTACGAATGGAAATAGCCCTGAGTTGATTAGCTTAGGTTGGCATAGCATAAACACTGGAGGCAGGGGGGAAATAACAAAGCTCTAAAGTTTGAAATAAACTACTAATATTGCCTCTAAAGCTTTATTATTATCACTAATCTGTAAACAAACAAAATGAATTTCGTCAGGGATTCTATTGTGTGCACATTAGACAAACAAAACTGAACATTGCTAATTAGTGGGCTTTAGAGGTGGGAAAAGCCATATTTACAGCTCTGCTTTGAGTCATGGCTCTTGCTCCATAGTTTAAGCACAGACATGAGGGTGATATCAATTCAACTGACATTCAAAGTGTACAAAAATATAAATGTAAGACTATAATTAATGTTGACGTCTGTCTCTCACCTGTGAACGGTGCTCCCCAACGGAGAACTGCACCACAGCGAAGTTGTGTGAGGCGGGGCTCCCTTCGATGCGCTCCACTGTGGACGAGTCGATCTTCAGGTCGCTGCTGATCTCAGCGCTCTGGATAAAGTCCTCCGTCTTCAGGTCCTCCACACGTTTCAGCTCCCCGTCGGCCAGCTGGATGATGGAGCCCTTGATGAAATAAGGGGGGAGTGATGGGGGCACCCCCGTACTGGATGAGGAAGGAGGAGCAGAAGTCGCGACCACCCCTGGCGGAGCGGGAAAAATGGGGAGATGAAGCTGGGCTTGGACCACTGCGCCTGAAACGCTCTGGTGATACGAGCCGCCGTGGTGCTCTAGAGTTTCTCCTTTGGGGGCCGCAATGTATGTGTGTGGGAGTCTGGGAGGAAACGAGGCGGCTTGGCTAGATGATGTTACTTGGGAGGTTACAGGCTCCAATGTGGCCACTCCACTTCCACTTACAGGGATAATGACTGGTTGGGTGCCAGGAATGAGTAAGTGTTGTTGTAGGCTGGTGTGATAGCTGATCGGCGTATGGCTCCCAGCGCCCCCTGCTATGTACCCAATGATAGGTGGCTGAGGGTAGATACTGGAGGAGGGGAGACCCATTGACAGTGACTCTGTGGCGCTGTGGGTGGTCTGGATGACGGTCTGAGGCGACAGTGTGCTGACGGCAGCTTTCAGGCTGTCCACACTCAATGGGGATGCAAACGTGAAAGAGGAGGTGTTGGAGGAGGAGGTTGTGCGATTGACAGGCTTGCCCAGGATGATGCCACCTTTCTCCAGGTGTGCAGGGGCACAGGTTGTCAGCTTCTCGTTGCCGGCTCTGTGTTGTACCAGCTGGTGGTCCCCATGGCTGTTGGGCATCAGCATGAAAGAGGTTCTCAGCCCTGAGTGATCGTGAGTGGCGTAGTCTGAGTGCAGAACCAGCTGGCGGGCCTCGTAGGAGGACAAAGACAATGTGGCGTCCCGGGATTTGCTCCCTGGCTTAGGGAGGTTGGACTCGGGGGGTGTTCCGAACCGCCGACCCCTTTCCAGCTCTCCATTGTGGTGCTCTCTGTGTCTGGAGCCACCTTCATCTTTCCTTGTGGGTCCGTCCGAATACTGCACCACAAGCTGGGACATCCCATGTCCCAAAGAATGGTGGGGGTGCAGTGACTGGAGAGGAAGGTGGACGCCTCCTTGGTAATGAGGTGACGGCACAGTCCGTGTCGACGTTGACATCTGAACTTGGTGAGGGTAGAGGTCTGTCGAAGGCGGAGGCATGGAGGCGCGCGCCGAGGACGCTCTCTGCTGGTCGTGCTTGGAGGTGTGCGAAGGAGCAGACACTGTCTCTGTGTACGAGTGTCTCTGCGCGGCCAAAGAGGAGGACGAAGAGGAGGTGAGGGGGGGAGGTGGAGGAGGAGGCGGAAGCAATTGAGGGGAGATGTAGCTCGCGTATGGGGCACTGTAGGGTGAGGCTATGAACTGCAGGTTGGGAGGCAGTTGGGCGTAGTGGACAGTTCCTCCAACAGTGGACTGTGACAGGGCGGACGTGTACACTGTAGGAAGAGATGAGACGAGACTCAGTGAGGAGGATGAAGAGTCCGAGGTGGAGAAGAGGGATTTATACTGGAGGCTGTCCGACTGACTGGAGCTACGGTGACCGCCCACTCCACTCTCATTCCCAGCAGCCACGCTGGCCAGCCAGGCCATGTTCTCTGTGCGCTGGCTGTCACTGGCGGGGGGGATGGTGGGGGAGCGGAGTTCAGCGGGTAATGTGCTTGAGACGATCTCCCTCTTCTTTGGGGGCAGACATTCATTACTGCGTTCCTGATTGGACTTCATGCTGACTACGCCTCACGTCCCTAAGCTGTACTTGCTTATCGTTCCTTAACCTTTGGCCTTCTATTGCTTTTCTTTTCTATTTCTGACTTTTTATTTCACTTTCCTTCCTTTTTCTCACTTTTGATGATCTATCACTTGTCTCGCCGTAATAAGCTATGAAATCTCTACTCTCTTTCTATCTTGTTCACCGAAGCCCGATGTGTATCAGGGTGATAAGAAGGAAAATCCAGACCCTAACAAGCAGGTGAGGAGGGATTAAAGATGGAGATGAAGATATGGAGAGGGGGGGTTGGAGGATGGGGGGAGAGGGGGGGGTAGGGCGTTCTGTTTGGTCCAGAGGTGTTTAGCGGCTGGAGGGTGAGCTCAGAGCTGGAGGGGAGAGAGTCACGACGTCACACCTGCTGCTGCCGCCGAGGACGACGGGGGGCCGAGTGCGTCGCACTTCATGCGGAATCATTTCCTTGCAAAAGCAAGCCTGCCCACACCCAGCACAATCCTGTGGAAGAGAGACAGAAACGGCGTTAGAAAAGGTGTGGGTGCTTTTAAATAAAACTAAATAATCACTGAAATGTATTAAATCTTAGATGAAGCATTCTTAATCTAGGGCACGGGTCGGCAACCCCTGGCGCGCGGCACCGTAACCAGTGGCACACTAGGAATAAGTGGAATAAGTGTGCAAAATATTTATATTGTATTTTCGGATCCTGAACGAGACCGCCGCCAGAGCGCGTCTCCCCGTTACCTGCAGGAAGCCATGCACGCAACGCAGCCCCGCTCTCTTTAACTCCAGGCGACTTTCTGCCGCTTTCCTCCGTGGTGCAGGGCTGATCGTTTCACCACAGAAGAAAGCACTTCACAAATTGCAGTACCCATAAGGAGCTTTACATGCAGCAGTTTTTGCGTGGCTGTGTCTTTAGTTGAAAGCCCAGTGGCGATCTGCTCATCTCTCATCTAAATAACATGCTACACAGGAGCGGGCTGGCCATGTGTGTGTTCTGGAGAATCACAGAACGGACCATCGTCCTTATTATTATGCCGTTTAAACCAATTATTTAAATTTGTTTGTTAAATTCGGCATCATGTAAGTTGCGCTGACAGGTCCACACACTGCTTCCCCGCAGCGAGGCTCCCCCCGCCCTCCTGTTGACAGTTCACGAACGTCGAGCTCTTTTTAGCACTATTTTTGCCACAACATTATGTGAGGAAAGAAATTGAAGCATGGATAAATGAATAATAACACAGGCAGTTTTTAAAAGTTGCACCCTTATTAATTATCGAAAAATGGAAACAATTCCAAGAACTTTCCGGCACCTGCTGTACTTGGACATCTGATAACAAGCCTGTGCTGTACTCAATAAAGTGTGTGTGAGTGTCCCACATGTGTGCCTGTGTGTGTGCCTGCCATCTGTTAGCAAGGACCCCCTGCTGTAAAGATGGAAAGCTTGGTGTGAATCTCATAAATAATGTAGAAGCATTTCAAGCACCCCCCCCCACACACACACACACACACACACAACCAGCGACACACCATCATGCTTACTCAAACACTGACACCTGGGCATATTCAGTTATGCTGACACATGTTATTTTGGTGACACACAGCTCAAGTTCACACACAAACACACACACTTTCCCCGACAAGTGCACAAAAGCAAAATCAATGAACAACTTAAAGACCCTTCCCATTTGTACACTTGGTGGGCAGAGTATCCTTTGACTAACAAACGGCAAACTAAAAATGTACAGCTAGCATGGCTGTTGCTACGACAAGGCACTGACTGCATTACAAAATTATGTTGCATTACTGTTATTTAGTACATGAATAAACATCAGGAATTAACTTTCACTCAAACAAATAATCATATAATAATAATTAACACAATGAAATATCTTCAACCACATACAACATGTCGTAAAGTCCTATGTCCTAAATATAGACTTTTTTGTCATTTAAAAGGCACTTCATCCAAATGCCATGACGAGGACAACCAATATAAAAAAAAGAAAATATTTTCAAATGTATGTCATGATACTTAACAGTATTTAGATAAGGAAGTCAGTGACCTTATCCATTTTTGCATATAAAAATAATTGTGGTTCCTCCATTTAGCCATTCTGGTAACAGACCTGATGATCTGATCTCTGCCACTGCCAAGCCACAACATATTTAATCTTCCAACCAGAATGAATTGTTCAACACTTTTGAGACTTCATAAGGTTTATTTGCAAGTTCCTGCAGGGAGATACCAATTGCTTTCACTTTGAGTGCGTGCGTGCGTGCGTGCGTGCGTGCGTGTGTGTTCTGTATGACGAGAGGCCTCTTGCATCTCAAGCAGATTCCTTTGGTTTTCCAAGTGTCGCATTGCTACTATAGCGAAACTGCAAAGACATGCGTAGGAGTAATGCAAATTCACATGATGCACATACAGTATAAGAACACACACACACATACACTCAGACACACACACTTTTTCAAGCACGCACCATCTGTTCAATCAGGCAGGCATGACTCAGAGTGTGTTGAGAGGTGCTGTTGATCGGTGAGCTTTTAGCACTGAGATGCACTCTTCCCTGCCTCTCCCTCCTTCACTCCAACTCCTTTCAACTCCTCTCCTGCCTCAGCCTGCCCACCTCTCCTTCTTCATCACTCCATTTCCAATCATCGTTTTCCATCTAGTGTAATGTTCTTAATTGTCTGTCAATCCTTGCTTCTACTCTCTTGGCATTATTTGACATGAATCTTCTTCTTGTCTCTCTCCTGTTCGGTATGTCATTGAACGTACAGTTGGTGCTGTAGCTGACAATGACAGTGATGATATAGATTGGTATACAATAATAATCCAAGTTCGTTTTCAACAAGCTGTTGCTCAAATTAAAACTTTGTGATAAGACGAGGAATATTATGTGTCTGAGCGCTGTGAGATGAGAGACGTTTCATATCAGCCGTCACATCACAAAGTCAGCACACACTGCCTCAGATCTGTTCATGCTGCCATCTATGGCTGCTTTTATCTTCAAAGTGAGGTACTTTATTTCTGACAGTTCGCTCGGACTGGTGAGAAAAGGTTTGTTCGAATTCCAGGAGAAATATTTTGCATTGTCTTATAGGATATAATATGTATAATGTGTTTGTAATAAGCATGGCAACAAGAATGTTAATACAACAAAAGGGATGTAAGCTACTATAAAATTGGATATACAATGTAAATCAATGGGAACTCTTATTAAGTACAATAGCACATAAACCTGCATTAACAACTGTTTTGCCATGTGGGGGCAGCAGAAGCAAACACAGTATATTGACATATTACATTTAATATGTCTAACTTGTTAGCAAACTAATGCTTTTTGCCCATCCAGTAGACATGGAGCAACATTAGCATTCACTTGATGGTGGGCTTCTAGTCACCTTGCACATATATGACCAATATTCACTCTCCTCTAAGCCCTGTATTGGTCTCATCCAAATGTCGAGGGAAAAATGCTCAATTTTCTTCACTACTAACTGTGTCTGTCTTCCAGCATGTAGAGTGGGACACGTTATTATTAACAAACACAATAAAGTGAATCCAAAACATGATTTGAGAGAGTGATATGAAGTGCAGGAAAGTACATGGGAGAAATGGAGAGAGAAAGAGATGCAAGCTAACTGACCTACATTGCAGAAAGAGAGAGTATTGCTTCGCTGAAACTGACCCCCAAACACACATTCACTGAAAAGCGATGTCACCCGATTCTTGCTGAGTTTGCAACTGTGTGTCTGTGTGTGTGGGTGTGTGTTTGAATGAATGTGTGTTGACGACCTGTAACCTAAGCCGTCTGTCCTCCATGTGCTTCAGTCTCTTTTTCACACACACACACACAGACACACACTTTACCAACGTCTGTGTGTGCATGCGTGAGTCAGTAACCTGAATCGTTCACTCATGCACTATACTATTGTCCTTCTACGGTCAAAACAGTAGAGGTTCTCAGGTTTCTTTCCTTCACACTCAAACACACACACACACACACACACACACACACTCACACACACATCGAGTGTACTACTGGATGAATTGTAATGTACTCACACCGTCTGCTGTTTGTAACTAAAGCCCTGCAGGGACAGAGAATCAAACCTATCTCTCGTGTATAAAGTGTATATGGAAAAAAAGGATATTCAAAGTTATATGTTACAGTAATACATATTAAACCTTACTTTCTTTTTGACGCATTTAACTTAAAAGGCTGAATGGCGGTAATGGCGCTATGTACTGCAATAGTATGGGCAACATGTTTTAACTATGGTCCTTTACAACAATTACAAAACGTAGCAGCAGATATAAACATTAGGTTTCATATTCCTGCAGTACATGTCTGAGCTACTGATATCCTCCCAATGCAGGATATACGATTCCTTCCGGGTTCAAAGTTATAAGTTGCACCGCACTGAATGTGGGCAATGCTCTCACTTACTGTAGTGGCATATACAGTAAACAGCACGTTGGTTATTAAGTGTATTGTTTATGCCACAGAGGCATCTATACAGCACACTCTTAGAATGGTATGCAATATTATCATATTCCATTTTTAGTTCCGATTGAATAACATTCAATCTGTGGTAAAATATTAGAAACAATGACAATACACTTTCAGTCAAAGATTTCCAGCCATATATACGTGCTGTTGAGGTAATCCTAGAAAGTGTATTCTTTGTTTTGTGCTCTACTTCTAAAAGCTGCCGGCCAACACAGAGGTCACTAAGTTTCCTAAAATGACAAAGTCGCTGGGAGGGGACCTGCAAATGTTTTTTTAGCTTTGTTGTCAGGAGGCCCAAAACTTGTTGGCAGCACACACAACTGCAGGCGGAGCACGAGGTTAACATCACAACATGCTAACCACTAAAGACATTAGGCTACAAAACGTGTTATCACACTCACACACAGTGTTACACTAATCATGAAGGCACAATGAATGTTTGCTTATTGTGAAACTCATCTCATGTAATACACTAAATACAAGTCTTACATAAACCAACACACATGTCACTTTTCTGTCTACTTGTGTGTATGGGCTACATATGTCTGCTGCATGTGTGTGTGTGTGTGTGTGTGTGTGTGTGTGTGTGTGTGTGTGTGTGTGTGTGTGTGTGTGTGTGTGTGTGTGTGTGTGTGTGTGTGTGTGTGTGTGTGTGTGTGTGTGTGTGTGTGTGTGTGTGTGTGTGTGCGTGCGTGTGTGAGAGATGATTGCCCAGTCATAATCATAATCATGATCAAAGGGATAAGTCCAACGTGATGTGTTATCTCACTGCTAAAAATAGTTCCACTGGAAAGTACAGTGTTGCTGCAGGCTTATACTTCTCTGCCTCTCTCTACTTCTCAATGTTGTTCCTCTATGTCTCTATGAAGCTTTCTGCCAATGTGGTTTTTCATTAGTGTGGGTGTGTGTTTGCTTATGTGCGTGGACAGAGCGGGGACCCTTGCCAGACTGGGAACTCTGACAAGGCTGCCACTT